ACCATTTGGGTTTACCAAAACCATAGGTAACAGCAGGAGTTTCCAAACTTGGTGACTTTAAGCCTTATGAACTTCGGTTCCCAGAATTTTGGGAGTTGAAATCCAAAAGCTTTAAAGTTTCTAAAGTTTAGAAACTCCTGGCTTAGAGTAAACCTACCCTGGTTTAAAGCTTACCAGGTATGTCCAGCTAACTGTGATTTAGTTAATAAACCCTGTGTGAACCAGAATAAGAGAAACCAGAATCTTAATGCCTTTAACAGTTGTGTATCCTTTTTAATAAAAATGGAACCTGCAATCAAATTTGCAGTAAAAAGTATTCCTCTTTAGGGTTCCCTTTGCTTTTGTTCCCCATTCTTATGTCCCCGTTAGTCCCAATCCCTAAAAGCTAGAAAAAAAATCTTTGTTGGATGAAGTTTTATTCATACACCTTTTGTATTTCCACTTCTACAAAGTACTGGACAGTTCCCAGTTCTGCAAGTTCGTGTTTCCGATACTCCTTGTGACAACATAAGCAATGCCCCACACAATCTGGACATCTGACGTAAAGAAAGCAAAGGCTTTGGATTAGATATAGTGGAAGAGAAGAACAATAAACAAGTACAAAGATGAGCAGTCTAATTGATTCCATTAATTAATCCTCAGGGACTCTCTAGTGGATTTACTCTTCTCTCTTCTATGGCAGGGGCCTAAAAGGGTCCTGCAGAAATGGTCATATAAGTGAGGGAAATATAATTCCATGATTTCCTTGGAACCAGGAAGAAACAGGAAGGGAGGGAGGGAAGGGATGGAGGGAGGAAGGAAGGAAAGAAAGAAAGAAAGAAAGAAAGGAAGGAAGGAAGGAAGGAAGGAAGGAAGGAAGGAAGGAAGGAAGAAAAGAAAGGAAGGAAGGAAGGAAGGAAGGAAGGAAGGAAGGAAGGAAGGAAGGAAGGAAGGAAGGAAGGAAGGAAAAGAAAGAAAGAAAGAAAGAAAGAAAGAAAGAAAGAAAGAAGGAAAGAAGGAAAGAAAGAAAGAAAGAAAGAAACTTCCTGCCATATAAAACTTGTAACCCAAATGTGATGTTCTTCAGACAAATTGTATTAGCTTTCATGGTAAGATGAAGACATACGAAGATTGTAGACCAAAACATTTGGGCATCATGTTTGTAATATTTAAAGGGCCAAGTAGGAAAGTGTTTCTCTTGCATGTGAGTGTCAGGCAGTCCTGTCTAGGACACATCTTAGAAGACCAGGAACCATTTCCCAAAGACTGTTTCCCCATTCTACGTTAAATGGAGAATCACGTCAGTGAAAAGCTTCCCTGGAAGATCTGATAATATAGTAAATTAAATCACACTCTACTCTGTAGGTCTGGTTTCGGTTATCAGTTGCCCTCCAGTTGTGTGGCTATTGCAGTTCTAGCGATCATGATCTGAAATAGGTGGAGAACTTTTGTTTGGAGAGGGTAAATTTAGATTCAGAGATTCCAGATGGACCTTCATCACCCCAAACCAGCAGTTTTGAACTGACTCCAGAAATGAAGCTCAATTTAGTGAGAACAAAGGAGGATCCTGGGTGGTTCCACATAAAATTGAATGTTGCCATCTTCTGCACCTGCCAGTGTGTCTGCACCTTCTTCAAGGGTGGCCCCATTAATTAACAGATCGCAGTAATCCAGGGATGGGCAAACTGCAGCCCCAAGGCTGCATGCAGAATCTGAGATCCCCTTTTTAAGCTCCCCACCTGCCCCTTTTACTGTTGTAGTTCGAAGCCAGCAGCCTGGATTCTTGCTATTTTGAGAAATGAAGTGTGCAAACATGGAGAGTTTGTGTCAGAAAATACTGAGACCTTAACACCATTAAAAAAAAAACAGCACAAAAATTCAGAGAGGGAGGGAGAGAGAGAGAGGGAGGGAGGGAGAGAGAGGGAGGGAGAGAGAGAGAGAGAGAGAGGGAAGGAGGGCAGGAGGGAGGGAGAGAGAGGGAGGGAGGGCAGGAGGGAGGGAGAGGGAGGGAGAGAGAAAGAAAGCTGTGTGTGTGTGTGTGTGTGTGTGTGTGTGTGTGTGTTAGAGAAAGAATAAGAAACACAACCCTGTCCAAGAAGTGTCCGTGTACCTGAGATGGTACACCTGTTGGAGTCATTGCTTCATCTTCTGAGACTCACAGCCAGTCAAAAAAAAATGACACGCAGCCCCCAGCCATCCAAGGACCCAAGGAGATTATAAAATACAGGTAGTCTTCACTTATAACACTTTATTTAGTGACCATTCAAAGTTATAATGACACTGAAAAAAGTGTCTTATGACCATTTCTCACACATAGGACCGTTGCAGCCTCCCTGTGGTCACGTGATCGAAATTCAGACGCTTGGCAACAGGCTCATATTTATGACGGTTGCAGCGTCCTGGGAGGCTCACCTGATCCCCTTTGGCAACCTTCTGACGAGCAAAGTCAACGGGGAAACCAGATTCACTCAGCCACTGGGTTACTCATTTAACAACTGGAGTGATTCACTTAAGGACTGTGGCTAGAAAGGTCATAAAATGGGGCAAAATTCACTTAACTGTCTTACTCAACAAGAGAAAGTTTGGGCTGAACTGTGGTCGTACGTCAAGGACTACCTGTACTGGATCGTGCCAGAGATATGAACATTTTAATCCTCTTCCTCTTGGAGGTTTTTCAGAAGACGGGACAGGAGTCTTATTCAGAGCCCTGGTGTATTTCATAGCTGCTAGCCTTTTTTTATGCTGCGGGATCATCCTGTGCCTTTGAGGAGAAATGCAAATCCTAGGAATGGAATAATCACCTGGAGACTTGGCAAAGCAAAAGCCAGGGTGTTAAGCCACTCGGAGCGCATCTCTTTTCCCCTCTCTTTTGCATTTCAAAACATTTTGCAGGAATTGTTCAGATTAATAATTGCATCATGAGAATGTCATAGTCGGCTCTCCATGTAATCACATTACGATGCAATTAACTCAAAGAGGGTGTGAAAGAGAGAAACTGAGCCACAGCTTCCCAAAAGAGAGAAGACAAAAAAAAAACAACCCAGGAGGTTGGAACCCGAGAACATCTAAAAAACTTACGGAGGGTATCAGTATCCAAGCACAATCTTCACCTGAACAGCAAGCAAGAGTGAGAAGAATCAGTAGTCAAGTCAGAGGGGAAGACCTACTCTAGAACAAGATTGGAAAACTCTGGTCCTTGGAAGTGGCTGCCCGAAATTGGTTGGGATTGGAGTTTTTGGGGATGGGATGATTAAAAGAAAGAAAGAAAACATGAGGGAAGAAGGGACATTCCTCTTGTATTTTGTCAATAGGGGTGTCAAATTTCTTCCTGAGCACAATTCAACTTGGCTTTGATCTAAAACATTATGCAGTACATAAAAAACTGTCTACTATTTTAATTGTCATTAGAGACCTTCTAGAATTAGGCACAGAGACAGAGCCTTCTTGAGTTTGGCGCTTTAACTCTACTTTTTTATTCCTCAAGAACGGTTTGTCTTTTATACTAGCTTTATTTATTTTTCCAATTCTTTTGCAAACCCCAGCTTTACTCTTTAAGATTTCCGTGAGTAACCCTTGAGTGCTATTTTAATTGTGACCTCTTGCGTGGATTTGAGGCAGATAAATTTTATTGTCTGTCTCTTCTGACTGCTGGTGGAGTCATTAATCACTTCTTTTGTTGCTGTAGTTTGTTTTAGCCTACACATCTTGAAAGTTCTTTTACTGAAAGACATGACAGAAATGTCTTCGGTTTGTCATTGTTGCTAAACAGATTTACTATTAGTTCAGGTGCTTTTCCAGAAGGGAGCCACAGCCACCCAATTTGGATCCAGACTGTCTTTCAGGACAAAGTCTTAACTTTCACTAATAGCTTGTTTGTTTTTAACCAATAATAAAATCCCACCCATCTAGAACTCCTAGGGCATCTCGCAATTAAAAGGTGAAACAATAAAAACACAGCAAATTGCATAATCTATGACTGTGAGAAAATGCAGGAATGGGCAAGCAAAGGAGGGGATGAGAACAGACCGAAAATTGAGTTACTCATTTTATTAACCTATTCAGTTCTTTGTATCTCAACACAAGATCCCAAAAACTTTGATGTAAAGAGCCACCTAAAACTGTGTTTCTGGTTCCTCTTCCCCCTGGACACAATCTAGAGGCTGATGTGACTCTTGATGGGAGATTTGACCCATCACATCTTATATTGCAAACTTAATCAGAATAACAGAGTTGGAAGGGATCTTGGAAATCTTTTAGTCCAACCCTCTGTGAAAGCAGGAGATTCTATATAAACTATTTCAGACACAGGACTGTCCAATCTCTTCTTAAAGTGATGGAGTGCCCGCAGCTTCTTCAGGCAAGCTGTTCCATTGATTTAATTATTCTCACAATCAGGAAATTTCTCCTTAGTTGTATCTGTCCTTGATTACTTTTCATCCATTCCTTCTTGTTCACAATGCTTTGGCGAATAAGTTGACCCCCTCTTCTTTATCTTAGCCCCTAAGATATTGAAACATTGCTAGTGTGTCACTCTTCTTTTCATCAGACACTGCAATTGTTCTTTATGTGTTGTAACCTCCAGGCTCCTAATCATTTTTGTTGCTCTTCTCTGCACGCTTTCTAGAGTCTTAACATCTTTTTTATATCGTGGTGACCAAAATTGAACGCAATATTCCAAGTGTGGAATATTATAGGCATTGTAAAGTAGTACTAACATTTCACTTAGAGCTTCAAATTAGAGCTGGATTCATTACGCCCTTCTTAATCCAACTAAATCAGTCTAATTTAGAAGATAAAATCTAATTTTCGTTGTCCGATGAAGACAAACATGTAAAACGAAACAACTTAACAAGACAACATGCAAGGAAAATATGAAAGCACACCTTGACAAATACCGCTGCTCATGTTAGGGAGGGTGTATTGAACTGATGTGAGTGTTGTAATTTTCTGTGTATTTTGCTAAAACCGATAGTTGCAAAGAAATGTCTCAATACAATGTTCCCGTTTGTATTCCCATTCAGCTTCATGTCTGTGCGACTTCTGAAAAACGATGCGATGGGCTTGCAGAAGTACTCCTATATGAACGAAGACGAAGCTTGGAAGAGTTACCTGGAGAATCCTCTAACAGCGGCCACCAAGGCCATGATGAGAGTAAATGGGGATGATGACAGCGTAGCCGCCCTGAGTCTCCTCTACGACTATTATATGGTATGAAGAACATTCGGTGTAGAGATTAGGAGAATCTGGTGGGTGAACCCACAAAATGGCTGCCATAGCAAGCCTGTCAGATCCCCACTGAACAGAAGTCATTTCTATTGTTGCAAATAAACATGATGCTAAAGCAGTATTTCTCAACCTCGAGAGCATTTCTCAACCTTGCTAACTTCAAGGGAATGGGAAATGCTGTCTGAGGAATCCTGAGGAATCCACACATCTTCAAGTTGTCATGTGAGAAACACTGCCTTAGAGTGTCATGCAAATCCAGACCATCTGATTTGTATTTATAGCTGAGGGTATTGTGCAAACTAGAAAACTTGATTAATTTGGTCACCAGGTTAAATGCATTTTTGTCAACCCCCGTGCCCCTTTTAGCCTCCTGGGCCTCAGGGAAGCCTCCTGGGTGAAGCAGTGAGACAGTGAGGGGGATCCCAGCACAGCTGATCATCAGCAGAGCTGATCGTTGGGAGGGGGGAAAGAAATACCCTAAGGAGTGACTGAGTGGGGGAGAACTCAGTCAGTGATGTCAGGCATGCATGCGATAAGGACTGACTGGGTGGAGAGGGGCGGGGCCAGCCAGGGGCATGATTTGCCGGTTCTCCGAACTGCGCAGAATCACAACAACTGGTTCTGTAGAACCAGTCCAAACCAGCAGAATTCCCACCTCTGCTTGAGAGTCTGTTTTTGCTGGCAGAACGATCGGGCCACCACAGGTGCCCCCGACAGGAGTGATGTCGAGCTGGCCACATCCACCTTGCTCCCCCACCCCCCCAGTTCAAACACAACCCTGATGCGGCCCTCAATGAAATCGGATTTGACACTCCTGGATTAGACAATAGAGATTCAACCTGGAACATCATCCTGATTTGCAGGCCACGTTTATTTTTCATTGTTTTTCCTCCCTTGCTAGGTTCCAAAAGAAAAACGAATCCTTCCATCTGGAGCACCAGGGCGCAGTGAAGTTGGGAAGAGGTAAGAAAAATATCTGCCCCTTTTTGTAAACAGCTTGAGGGAGATGGGAAATCCCTATTATTTCTAGCAAATGAGGACTTCATAAATCCAGGCTACAAAACATCTGTTTCTTTAGTTCAAAAAAATAATTGGAAGGTGTGTCAGCAGGTGAAGACAATGGGAGGGCTGGACTCCACATTGTCTTATTAGGTTACAAGTTATGACAGATTTGGGGATGGGGGTGAACAAAGCAGGGCTGAAAAAACTACTCACCTGCCTATGGGGTCTGTGTTTGCCTCTTACCTGAATGGCCCTGATGCAACAGAAAGCTGAGTTGTAGGTTGGCTTCTTCCTATCTTGCTCCCATCTCTGGACTAGGATCAAATAAAAAATACTAATTATTGCAAGTTGTTTTGAAAAGCTTAACTGGGCTTCCAGAAGATGTATACTAACAACCTCTCTGGCTTGCCAGGTGCTGCTGAATTTGAATGTCCAGCAGTCCTACCATGCAGGCCTAATTGCAAGGGATCTTGGATGCTGTAGTTCAGCAACACTGATGGGACACCATTTGCTATTCCTAGTAGTGAAAGAGGATTCAGAAACCATGGGCAGCCACTGCAAAATTATAGAAAGAGGCAGTCTCTGCTCAGATATGGGACAGAGGTGGTGTGCTTAGAAGGACACCTCAAGTTATCCTTAAAGGAGAGGGAGACAGATCCCATGATGGTTGGGGAAGATGGAAGAGTAGTCTTAGTTTTTCTGAAATGAGTTTATACAATAGGAACAAGTTTGTGTTCAGCCTTTCCAGGTAGACTGAACAGGAAGCAGAATCTGATCAGCTAATTCCACTTTATTGGAAGACTGTGTAACAGAATTTTGCAGCCTGATAGTACAAATTTCCCACCATCGCTATTATAGCCTGAGAAATTAGCGAGGTTATTTTCTTTGCTTATTATGCAGAGGCTGGCTACAGCTTCTTATCTCATCATCCCTTAGGCAGCATCCCTTCTCTCCACATTCCCAAGATCATTCTCACACACCATTACAGAGGCAGACTTTAGAGTGCCACTTTTGATGGGTACAAAGATTACAGATTAATAGATTAACAGAGTTGGAAGGGACCTTGTAGATCATCTGAATCTGTAATGCTATTTTCTTGGTTAAGGCTTGAATCTCAATAGGATGCCCCTAGATAGCTAAGGCCAACAAGAACTAGGAACAGCAGCATGGAGTATAAGGTTGATAAACAACTTTCTTTTTCTTTCAAAACAATTTATATCCATCCTTTCTTCCTTCTGGGCATCCATGCTTTCCAGAGAATTTCTCCTGTAGAGTCTCAATAGGCTGTATCACTTTGGACGCTGAGTGCCCTTCAGTTTTGTGCTTTACATCTGCTTCTGAACAACTGCATGGAAAATTGAAGATAAGCAGTTGGTAGGTTGGTTGGTTGCTAGGCCAAGCTAGAAGACTAAACAACTGGAACCTTTGGTTGGAGAAAGAACGGAACTGTGGAAGAAGGCAGAATTGGCTTGGCACTGAAATAATTATTTTTAACAAGATGGTGGACAGCAAAATCTTTTGAATCTTCTGCAGCAGGAAAAGAGGAACTTTCTGAATATCCTACAGCAAAGGTCTCCAACCTTGGCAACTTTAAGACTTGCGGACTTCAACTCCCAGATTCTGGGAGTGGAAAATTCTGGGAGCTGAAGTCCACAAGTTTTAAAGCTGCCAAGGTTGGAGATCCCTAGCCTACAGTCTTCCAAATGTTGCTGGACTACAACTTGTAGCAGCTCCACTCAGAATTCTGAGAGTTGTAGCGGAGCTGTCTCTGGAAAACCGTGGATTCTCCATCCTTCCCTTGCAGAGAGTTTGGGGAAAGAGATTGGGTAGCAATGCAAACAGTTTTCCATTTAGCAGAATTGAAACAAAAGGATAATCTGATCAAGTTCTGATTATAGTTACCAAATTGAGATATGGTTAGTTCTGTAAGCTCCCACTCTGTAGATTCCTGTATTAAAGATCCTTCTGTTGGCCTTATGTTGCTAAATTATTTTGCTTGGTCCTTCTTTCTCTTTTAGGCATTGCCATGGGATGGAATACGAACCAGAGATTTCTTCTTTTGAAGGTTCTGCTCAGCTCATGAAGCTTCTGGCTGAAAATGTTTCAGTGAACCAAGAATATATGGACTTGCCCAAGAAGAACAGTTTAGCCTTTGAGGGCATCTCTTCTCCTCACAAGCCACCAGCTCTACCTCCAGGTCCCAGCAAACTGGAGAGCAATCCTGAGAACTATATGATTACTTCAGGAGACATGTATGACAATGGCTCGCTTAATTCCCTCTTTGACTCCATCCACGTGGCTCCACCCCAACAGAGATGGCAGCCAGATAGCACCTTCAAAGAGGACCCTGAGGAGGTCAGAATTTATGCAAAATCCTTGTTTGATGTTATCACTCAATGGTGGTCTGCAGGGGTAACAGTGACACCCATAGGCCACGCTTCTCTAACCCCATGGCATCCAGATGTACTGGAGCACAATCCCCAGTATCACCAACCATCACAGCTGGTGGTTATACAAACTATAATGCAGCACATCTGGAAGATACCAGGTTTGGGGAAGCTGGGGAAACTATATATTAATAGATGGCATAAAATCCAGCTTGTTTTGAAATCCAGAATGTTTGGTGAATCTGAGGGAGGGCCACCTCAGCTTGGTCAGCCACCTGGCTTGGAGCCAAGCTGTGTGGTTCTGCCCACTTCTGTGCAGGATGTGACATGCATGGTATAAATGGGAGCAGCACAGATTGGGGTAATTAGGCGTTCAAAGGAGTGTCCCTTCATACAAAGTCAGCTGTCACAAAAATTCAGCAGGATGGAGAAGAGTTTGGTGGTGGTGGGGATGATGTCAGTTCTTCCTTAAATAGACTTCTTCCCTATTGTTATCCAGATTGTTCAATGGCTACAGCTTATTTCCAAATCACTCTTTCCCCTTAGAGTTTGCCAGTGTGAAAGAGTTGAGAAACAGGAAATTATAGAGGCTTGGTTCACCTTTAAGCAATTACTGACTTAGAATCGTGATGGGATTTGTTTCCTTTCATCCTGGCTCAAGGATAGACAACCTTTATGGACTTTATGGGCTGTGAAATAATATGGAATGGAACTCTCAAAAGAGATGCTTGTAAACCACGGTTAATGGCTTAATGTTCTGTGTGAGCTTTCTCTTGCCTTGCTTGCTCTTCTCTTTATCCTCATCCAGTCCTGGATCTAAAGAAAGCTGAGTAGGTTTCAGAATGCAAAACAATCCACACCAAGCTTTTTTTGGCGTTCTTCCATTGGGACACCACCTTTTATGGACCAAGCATAATTAAAAAAATATCTTAGCAACATCTTTGCAAATGTAGCTGAGAACCAAAGGAAGGTTTCCTGGAGATCAAAGAAAGATCTCCTATTTCAAACATTAGCACAACTGTCCCAACCTGGTCCTCCATTTGTATTGGACAGTAGCTCACAGAAATCCTTTTTTGGGGTCTGGTTGCTGATGGAATTTCTATTCCAACACCTTTAGACAACACAAGACAGGGGAAACCCCCCAGTTCCCATTTAAACCCAGAGTGTTTTCATATTTGCTTCTAGTTCATAAGCAGATTGCTAGCTAAGATGTGCTTTGGATTAGAATGGGTTTGGTAAGTCTTTTTCTGACAAAAACGTCCTCCTTCTGCACGTAATACAGAGTTTTTTCAACACTGGTAACTTTAAGAGTTGTGGACTTCAGCTCTAAGAATTCCATAGGCAGCATAGCTGGCGGGAGAATTCTGGGAGTTGATGTCTACATATCTTAAACTTGCCAAGTTTGGCAAACACTGATCTGACCCATAGCCACTTCCACTCTCTCTGTTCCTAAAAACTTGTTCTGGAGGTTGTAAAAAATAGCACTCTGGTATTCAAGGGCGGATTGTGTGGTTCTGGGTACAGGGTGGTTCCTGCTTGGTCTGCCATGTTGTCCTCCTTGTTTAGCAGCTGCCTGAGATAGTTAAGGGGGTGGTGCTTTTTTTCTTAATACTTTGCTCCCCCACACAAAGATTCACCTGCTAGATATCTGTCTGCCCAGTTTACTTTGGACCTCCAAACTTGGCAACTTTAAGACTTGTGGACCTCAACTTCCAGAATTACCTATGCTGGCTGGGGAATTCTGGGAGTTGAATTCCAAAAGTCTTACAGTTGCCAGGTTTGAAGACCCCTGATCTAAGGCAGCAGGGGAGGCTTCAAAATACATATATACATATATAATACATACATACAAAATCAAATCAAATCACACCAAACTGTTCTGGTTTTGTTCTCTGCAGTCCTTGATATTCAATGATATTTTGAAGGCAGAAGCTCCATGTTCAGAAGGTTATTCCATCAGTGATGGCAAGACGTAAGTGTGAAGATTTTCTCCTGGACTATTTAATCTTCAATAGAGAAAAAAATAAGCTATATTTTTTTAAAAAAACAACAACAACCAAGCACTTCCTACATTGGTGCACATGGTGATCCTTCTTGCCTAAATGTTGAGAAGAGTTGGGGAGTTTCTCCTGAATTGGTGTTGCATTTCCATGAACCTACAATGGTGGCTCCATACAGAGATGGAGCTAATTTATTTTCAGTTCAGCTGTTGTGAATCCAAAATTTCTCCAACTCACTTTTCTAATTGAAACCCTGGAGCTCTGCAGCTGTTAGGAATGAACTGGTCTCCAATGACAGGAACATTGTGTTCCTAGGCTGTCCCTTCTCCTTGGATCTTTCTCATCAAAACACTACCATTTTACAATTTGCAGTTACATAGCAAAGAGTGAGACAACAGGCACAGAGTCCCTCGTGGCAATTCTCAAGTATGCGCCAAAGCACTTGAAAGCAGAATAAGAAGCAATGGGTGGAAACTAATCAAGGAGAAAAGCAACTTAGAACTAAGGAGCAATTTCCTGGTAGTTAGAACAATTAATCAGTGGAACAACTTGCCTCCAGAAGTTGTGGATGCTCCAACACTGGAAGCTTTTAAGAAGAGATTGGACAACCATTTGAATGAAATGGTATAAGGTTTCCTGCCTAAGCAGGAGTTGGGAGTAGAAGACCTCCAAGGCCCTTCCAACTCTGTTATTCTGTTCTGTTATTCTATTGCAGTGGGGTTTTTTGAACATAATTAAACACATCAGAGCAGAGTTGAAGATGGATGAGTTGTTGATTGATGCTGTTTTAAAACCTTCCCTATTGATTAGTGGAAGAGGGTTCTAGGTAGTACCTGAATTGGGATCTGTCCAGCTTTGTAGTTTCGTTATATTGGTGTAACTATAACGTTGAAGAAAACCAAGTTGACTCTGAAATGATTCCTTTTGTGTTTTACCAAGTAAAATCCCTTTCTGTTTCTTCAATGGTTCTATTCCAGTGACTTTGAATACACTTTGGGATCTCCCAAAGCTATTCATATCAAGGCAGGTGACTCACCCATGGCATACCTCAACAAAGGACAGTTCTACCCGGTGACTCTGAGGACTGTCGGAGACGCCAAATGTTTACACTTGTCCTCAAACAAAGTGAAGGTAAGTGACATGCGGCTGAGCATCCGCCAGAAACATAGCCTTTGCAGGGTTCATTATCAGAGCTATTCCAGCCAATAGCCATTGAGATTTCTGAAGTCACTATCAATCCTGAAATGTTACTCCAAAGTTGGGTTTGGTTTTGCAAGTGAATTTACGAATAAGCCCTTTGTACAAGTTAACAGAGTCTATGTGGACTTCCTTCCCTTTTTCCAGAGTGTGGTGATGGTAGTTTTCGACAATGAGAAGATTCCAATGGAACAGCTCAAGTTCTGGAAACACTGGCATTCGCGCCAACCGACAGCAAAACAGAGAGTCATCGATGTTGGTATGGAGTATAACTACTTCAGGGTTTCTTGTCCAGGACAGAACAAAAAATGGAGAGGAGGGCTCTCTCCCAAACAACTAATCTGATGCCTATGGAGATAGTCATCCAGATCATGGTTTCCCCAAAGGTGCTTTTCCAAAAGGCCACTGGACTTTGTTTTTCCCTGAAGACATTTCGCTTCTCATCCAAGAAGCTTCTTCAGTCTGAAAAAAGCTCCTTTGGGTCAACTAATCTGGTAGACTTTATGTGAGCTGCTTCAGGTCCACGCGGCTGCGAAGCAGACCATTTCCCACTGTGATTGTATTGCCCACCTTCATGATCTCCTCCTCGTCCAGCTGTTTATGGAGATGGTGGAGAAGGCCAAGAATTTCATTTATCTCCTGGGATAGACTATGGCCATTCTTGTAACATCCATGGTCAGAATAGCTCTTAAGATGTGTGGAAGGTTGGATGGAGGTAGAACTATCCTAGATCTTAGCCACTGAGTCCAGAAGAAGGTTTAGGAGTAGTTCCGAGGAGTAAATATGGAGTTATCACATCTTTTTAAGGTATTGATAGTTAAGTAACTATAGCTGGTCAATTAAAGAAATAAAAGAAATGTTTTTTGTCTCTTTTAGCTGACTGTAAAGAGAATTTCAATACTGTGCAGCATATTGAAGAGGTAGCTTACAATGCGTTATCCTTTGTCTGGAATATCGCTGAAGAAGCGAAGGTAGGTTTGAAACATCAACAAGAGTACCTTTTAATACCAGGCAGGAAAATTATCCTGCATTTTTAAAAACTGTCTCTTAGTTAATTTAATAAAGAAGAATTTAGTTTAGAAAATTATTATGGTGTGTAGTGATGGGCCCAAGAGTTGTGTGTTAATGCCCTGACTTTCTCTGGACCGCCATCCCACCAGCACTGTCCTGTCTTCCTGGCTTCCCACATTAAATCCCATTCAATATTTGCAAGAGAAATCAACTCTCCTCTCATCATTTTTAAGTCATTGTGTTATTGTCACCCTGAAGAGGAAGTCCTGTCTCAAGGAAGCCCTTGAAAAATGGTTGGAGAATTTCTCCTTTGCCTGAAGAAATTTGGAAAAATGGCTCAACTAATTTTTATACCCATAAATTGGGTAAAGATTTTGGAAAATAGCACTTTGAACCAACCCATTTTCAATCATCTTTCCTTTGGGTCCTTTTGGGGGTTACACTGATCTTTTGACTTACACCTGGGTTAGGAATGGCTTCTCTGAGCAGTTAGTCTGGCCCGTTGCAATAACACCAACCCCCCCATTGGACACCCCTAAAACTTCAGGTGACCCCGCCTCTTTCAAGGCTACAATGGAGCTGGAACCATCATGCTTTCCATTTGCTTTTGCAGGTGTTTATTGGTGTGAACTGCCTGAGCACGGACTTCTCCTCTCAAAAAGGCGTGAAAGGTGTCCCACTGAACCTCCAGATTGACACTTATGACTACAGCACTGGCACAAACCGGCTGGTCCACCGAGCTGTCTGCCAGATCAAAATATTTTGTGATAAGGTAGAGTAAGGGGAGCCTTTGGCAAATGTTCTGCATGGGCTGCGTGTGTGTGTGTGTGTGTGTGTGTGTGTGTGTGTGTGTGTGTGTAGAAAGCCTCAGGGCAGCCAGGGGTCACCCTGTGTTGTTTCTTGAACACAAAGTGTTTTGGAGAAAAAACTTTGCAAGCAAGAGCTAAAGTGCCAAATTTGGGGTCCGAGGAGATTTAGAGATGAACAAGAGGACCTTCTGGCTTGAGGTTTTGCAACGTGTCCAACAGCCTCTCCCCAGCCCCCCAATTAAGCCTAGAGAGCAAGGACTCATTGGCATGAATGGAATTCCCATCCCACCCCATTGTCCCAAGTTTGAAGGTGATAGTTGAGGGCAAAGGATAAAGATAACTCTCTCTATCTTTCCCCACCATCACAATCCAGATCAACCCACCCACCCACCCCATGAAGCAATTATGTTTGAGGGTGGGGGAAACCCCGTCCTTATTCTCAAATCTAATTGGTAGGCAGCTGGGTGCAGGGATGGGAAGAAGAAGGAAGAGAGAGACGAATCAGCAAGAGCAATAGAAAGAAGGAAGAAGGTGGAGAGACCACAATGAAAGGTCCAGGACTTGGAATAAATCTACTGGTAGAGTGGGGCACCTGAAGATTGAGAGAGGCAGGGCACATGTTCAGTCAATGATTATGCATGGTCAGAGGACTCATTCTTGACCTATTAGATCCAGGCAGTGGTGGGATTCAATTTTTTTTTACTTCCGGTTCTGTGGGTGTGGCTTGGTGGGCATGGTGTAGCTTGGTGGGCGTGGCTTGGTGGGCGTGGCTTGGTGGGCATGGCAGGGGAAGATACTGCAAAATCTTCATCCCCTCCCCACTCCACCCCACTAACCTGCTTTCCAGCTCCGTTCTGCTGTGCAGGGCAACCAAAGAAGACCCAGCCAATCAGCTGGGACTCAGGAGGCAGAGAATAGATGGGGGCGGGACTAGTCAGAAGTGGGATTTGCTGGTTCTCCAAACTACTCAAAATTTCCACTATCGGTTCTCCAGAACTGGTCAGAACAGCTGAAGTCCACCTCTAGATCCAGGTGTCATGGTGGACAAATGTCATTTCACATGCCATGGCCTTACAAGGCAGACCACAGGAAACCCAGCCAGATAAGCTAAATTTAATTTATTGTTAAGCTACATTAACAGAACTTCTCAGCCTGAAAGTGCAAGTCTCCTGCTGCCACTTTTAGAGCCTGAGAACTTAAGGAGGGTCTGACTCTCTTGTTCCACCCACTGTGCAGTTGTGGGCCATGCTCCCTCTTATCTGACCATTCCTCTGGCAGTCCCTCTTGGCAGCATCTCTTCAGTCTCCCGAGGTCATTCCCACACACCATTACATGAAAAAAAAAATGTTTGTAGGTCTACCCTTAGCAGCCATGGATGTGAGAGTGAGGTTGTGGCTTCTCTCCTTTTCTAGGGGGCAGAGAGGAAAATGCGGGATGATGAACGCAAACAGTTCAGGAGGAAAGGAAAATGCTTGGATGCCAATAATAACGGTGAGTACAAGTGGAATAGCGGCCCCTTCAAACTGTTTGGAAAGGAGCCTTGATGGGTTGGTCCTGGGCCAAGAAGAGGAAGCTGCAGGGATGGTGACCATCAGAGACGCCTGCAAGATATGGTCAAAAAAAGTCAACATGGCAGCCACAGCAGTCAACTGAAATCTCTTCGTGTATTCTTGGGTTCTATGTAAAAAATGGACAGAGCTTCAATTGTTCCATTGTGGCCACCATCTTGATGCTTTTAACCAGGAGTGGAATTCTACCTGGTCGGTCCAGTTCTATAAAACCGGTTGTTATGATTCTGCCCAGTCTGGAGAACCAGCAAACTGCACCACTGGCTGGCCCCTCCCCTCCCTGCCCACTCACTCCTTACCTGGCATACACGCCATCAAACTTGCCTGCTCAGTTGCTATTTTTCCTTCTTTTTTTCCCCGACCATCAGCTGTTCTACTGTGCCAGGAAATTTAGATTAGCTAGAAAGCAGGAAATCATTGGATTTCTTGCTTTCTAGCTAATCTAAAAGCAGAGCTGAACCTTCCTTAGGACTGAAGTTTTTATTTTTTCAGTGCAGACTCAGGCAGCAGATTGCAGAAAGGTAGATCTCTGAGTGAATCTGCGATTCTGTGAACAACTCAATCTGCCTTTTTTAATAAGAAATTCAATATTTACATATTTATAATATTTACATACAAGCCACGCCCATCCAGCCACATGACCACCAAGCCACATGCACAAATTAGGCCACACCCACAGAACCAGTTGTTAAGAAATTTGAATCCCACCCCTGCTTTTAACCACACTCTGCAGAGACACCCTAGTTTCTGGGAAATGAAACTCCTGTTGCTTCATGTTTTTTGAGCTGCTTTCCTGCTTTGCACAACTCCAGAATCAGATATGGGCCTTTGTGGTCTCACCCTGCCATTTCTTTCAGCAACTGAGACAGCTTAGGGACAATGGACCTCGGATTGCACGAAAGGCAAACTTTCTCTTTGAAATACCGAAACTCCGTAGTGGTTCTCCATTGGTGGGAACATCTGCCTCGCCCAGCCCCATTAGTTCCCACGGTCTGGCAACCCACACTTCCTTCCCTCCCTTTAGAGCAGAGTTCCCCAACCTTTACGGGTTGATGGCCCATGGAGGGGAGGAGGGAAAGAGGGGATGGTTTTGTGGGAAGGGCAGGCACATATGCTGCTGCTCACGTGAGTGGGGCCAAGAGTGTCCATAACACTCATGCAAGTGAGGCCCCAAGTGCCCACAATGCTCACATGGGCTGTGCATCCGCATGCACCAGCTGGCCACTCACATGGCCTGGTTGCAAATGGGTATTAGGATTCCAGCAATTGCCCTAATTAAACCATGATTCTCCAATTGAGCACGTTCACGGCAGTGGTGGGATTCAATTTTTTTTTACTACCAGTTCTATGGGCATGGATTGGTGGGCATGGTAGGGGAAGGATACTGTAAAATCGCCAGTCAGAGGTGGGATTTGCTGGTTCTACGCAAAATTTCCGCTACTGGTTCTCCAGAACTGATCAGAACCTGCTGAATACCAGCTCTGGTTCATGGGCTGTGTGTCATCATTCATGTTGTCCAATTAAATATATTCGTGGGTAAAAGCTCTGGTATTTTAGTTACAATCTTTTAAAGATAAGAGTTGGAATGTACTTTCGCTTCCAAACTGCTGCACTGCTCTTCCACATTTCCTTCCTTCCCCTCCACTTTTTTTTTAGGGCAACTACTAAAACAAGCATAGGAATTTTTATGAGTTGACAATGGGCCACGGACCATTAGTGGGGCCCAAAGGTTGGGGATCCCTGCTTTAGAGGCTGAGATGTGATCGCCAGACTCTTATTTCATGGATCTTTTAAAAACAACAAGGTAGACCCCTTGGTGGCTTTACAGCTCCCCACTGTAGCGACTGCTCAGATGGGGGCTTTGATTGAGTTGCATACAGGTGCCCCTCGACTTACAACTATGACTGAGACCAGAATTTCTGTTGGTAAGCAAGGCAGTTGTTAAGTGAATCAAGCCTGGCTTTATGATCATTTTAAACAAATCACTACGGCTGTTAAGCAAATCGTGTGTGGTTGTTAAGCAAATCTGGCTTTCCCCATTGACTTTGCTTGTCGGAAGCCAGCTGGGAAGGTTGCAATTGGCAATCACATGACCCCAGGATGTGGCAACCATTTTAAATCCATGTTGGTGGTCCAGCACCTGAGTTTTGATGGCCTTGGGGATGCTGCAATGGTTAGACATTCAAGGACTGGTTGTAAGTCACTTTATTCAGGACGGTCATAATTTCAAATGGTCGCTAAGCAAAAGGTTGTAAGTCTAGAAGAACCTGCAGTTTGTATTTCTCTGTGGCTCAGCTGATGGAGTTTTGATGAGTTCACAATGTTGTCAGCCTTTGAGATAGGTGGCAAAGAAGATGACCGTGGATTGGCTTCCAACTGCTTTTAAGGATTCGGGGAATAGAAACAGCATCACCATTTGCAGCCTAAAAAGACTCTGCTCCAGCAGTCAGTTGCTTTAGGGTTGCACAGATGAACAAGAGCATCTATTCTTAGTCCAGCTAGACTGATCTGGTGCCCTCTAGATAAATCAGTGCAATTCTGGTAACTCCCAGCTGCCCAAGAGACTAGCCATAGACTCCAGGTCTGCTGGACAGTTTTCTCATTCCACCTAGGATCCAGGCCCAGCTGGATTTAAAGTCCTATTTTAAAATCCTTCTCTTTGCTTATTCTGTTTTATTTGTTTACCTATGAGATCTAGACCCCATAGGTTGACACATGCCCTCTGGGAAGCTTACAAAACAAATCCATATTCAAAACATAATAAGTAAGATGTCAAATAAAAACAGCCATAAAAACCACAAAAGGGAGAAAAGCAAAAAAACGGTCACCAAGATAAAAAAAAAAGCAGCTAGAACTAGTTTCAAGAGCCTTGTGATTGCTCCAAGCCCACAAGGAAGGTTTGGCACACTCTACCTAGGGCCTTCAAGATAGCAAAGAAAAGGGCCAAGGGAAAGTCCCTGGAGTAAGAGCTTCGTTGTATGGACACCACAGCCTGAAGGCTTGTCATTCCAGTAACCACCAGTCAGGTTTCCAAAAATGGGGAGGCTATAAAGAACATGTATGATTTGACCATGAGGGTCATATAAGAAAAGATAGTCCTTAGAGATTTGTTTTGGGACCATCAACATGACCTCCATCTTTTGCTCACTTCTCTTCTCTGTCCTTCTTCTTCTTGTTGTTTTGGTTCACCTTTCTGGGGATTGAGGTTGCCATCTTCTGGATTTTGATCTCAGTTTAGGAATGAATTCTCAAAGGACTTCTTGAAATGATTGTTGCCAGAAAATCGAGTACAAGTTTTCTTGCCTTTCATAGGACAATCTGCAGGCACATTTTACCAATCTTGAATCGGGTTGAGCATATTACAGACAAACTTTGGATTCTCCAAAATGCCATCTATGAAATAGTAACAGCACTTAGACTTCTATACCACTTCATAGTGCTTTTACAGCCCTCTCTAAGTGGTTTGCAGAGTCACCCTATTGCCTCCAACCATCTGACTCCTCATTCTACCATCTTCAGAAGGATGGAAGCCTGAGTCAACCTTGAGCTGGTCAGGATTGAACTCATGGCAGTGGGCAGAATTAGCCTGAAATACTGCATTCTAACCATTTCACCACTATGGCTCTTAGAATGGTTTCAGAAGGCTTTCAAATGGATGGCTTTGTGTTAAGACACTACTGTATTAGATTCAAGACTATTTGTTTATGGACTTGTTAAAATAGCTTTTCAGTTATATCTGCTTTTTGGGTGAATTTATTTATCCTCACACCAAAATCTATACAACACAGATTTCAGGACTCATGGTGGTTTACACCACCACTAAGGAAAATACCAATATATAAATAACCACAGAAGACAACTAAAACCAGAATTACAGGCCTATGTCTAGGAAAAGCCCATCCCCATTAGCACCCATAGTCCCTGATATATAAACAGTCTTAAGGGACTTCTTAAAGGTCAGGTGATTAGGGCACCAATGAACTTGGCACCCAATTTTTTTCCATTTTGAAGTAACTTCTAATGCTACCAGCCCCAAGGCGATATTTGCAGGTTTTCTATTTCTTCTTAATGTTTTTGGTTCTTGTTTCACATGGGGAGGAAGAACACCAAGTTACAAATAGAATCATAGATTTCTATGGTTTTGTAAGATGCCTCGTGATTGTGTAATAAAGACAATTTTAAAAACTACAAAGTTTCTGTTAATTTAGAATAAGGAGTGTGATTTAAAAACCATAACTTTATCTTTTAATCTTTCAGGTTTGAAAAGCTGTTTAGTTTCAAGCTTTCGCAGCAATGAAATCACTTACCTCAAGCCCCAAAGTGACTTGGAAACCCAGCCAGTCTTATTCATCCCAAATGTTCATTTTTCAAACCTCCAAAGATGTGCAACGGTAAGGCTCCTCTTTTAGCCCTGCAGCTTATGCCAAGAACCTCCAGAGTTCCATGAAGAAAACGTGGACTTCGGAAAGGATTCAGGATGACCTTCAGTGAGGGAGAGGATTCACATCTAGATGTAGTCCAGTGGTTGTCCAGAAGGCAAAGTCTTCATAGGATGATAATTAGAGAGCCATTTTAAAATATCAGGGTAGAAAGCCAGGGACTGTGAGTTCTAGTCCTGGTTTAGGAAGGAAAATGGACTTTGTAACTTTGGACCGATCACCTGGAGATTGTGAATTCTAATCTCTCCTTAGAAATGAAAGTTGACGAGCGACTTTGGGCCAATCGCCAGGAGACTGTAAATTCTAGCCTTGCCTTAGGGATGAAAGCCAACTTGGTTGGCTTTGGGTTAAAACACTTTCTCTCAGCTCAACTCCTTTTACAGGGTTTTTCTTATGGGGAAAATAGGAGGAGGAAGGATTGATTATTAGTTATGTACACTGCCTTGAATTACTTATAAAAATAATAAAGGCAGGATCTAAATTATAAATTCTTAATATATTACAACTCAACATAAACTAGTGTTTATTTCTTCCTAGCTAATAAGTTAGTAGACTTTGTTGTATATGTGATATGTAGGTTCATTTAATTTTTATATCAGTGGTGACCTAAATATGTAGAACTAGGGACAATCTATTCATGCGACAAGCAACACGCTTATCCAGGAGAGTCATAAAGCTGTTTGGTTTGGTTTGGTTTGGTTTGGTTTGGTTTGGTTTGGTTTGGTTGGCTGGATGACCCCATTCCATTTGATTAATATAAGGTTGAATGCATCATGCAAACCCCCCAAAATGGATTATTCATGACCAGGTTAAGCTTATTGTGTGAACATCCAAATATCTGGTCAGCAAAGCAATCATTTGAGGCTCTGCTCCAGAAAGAAACACATTCTGTGGAGATGAAATATGATTTGGACCCTCTATCTAACCTTCCTTAGAGAAACAGAGGAGCAAAGGAGAGCAGTAAGGTGTGTAAAAGTGTTTAATTAGTTGGGTATGACATACATCCCAAGGGGAATGTGGACGTATATTGAACAGCCAACCTCTGATCCAGCAAGCTATTTAGTAAAGAAGATACCTTGAGTGGAATTTCCACGTAAGCCCCTTTGAAGAAAAGGCAGAATCTAAATCTAATAAATATAGCTTTGCTATGTTATTGCAAAGGGGGGAAGGGCTTTAAAATGGCTGTTCATCTTTGATTAAAACATCTCCCTCCCTCTTTATAGGTATTACCTACTGCTGGAGCTCCACATGATTCCCACAGGTATGTAATACATTTCCTTTGGTGGTTGAGGCATTGATGGGGTCAGCAACCTGAAATGCTTTTGGACTCTGAGACCAAAAATGTGTTTGCTTCCCCATACCTGTTGCCTTTATAACTCATGGAAACTCAAATATTTAAGTCTTTGATTCAGGCATGGGTTTACATTCAGGCCTTCAGGGCTCTGGGCCACGAAACTCTTTGAGTGCTGCACATTGGATGACTTTCAGCCAATCACTGTCTTGGTTCAGCAGTTTCCATGTGGGACAGAATAGTCAATAATTTCCATCTGGGGATATATAAGGGTCTAGTCTCAAATGAGGGGAGGACACTTCATTTGGGGTGTGTTTATGAGTAGTAGAGAGAGCAGTCCATCAACATATATATCAGCATAACGGCCTCATTCAAATGAAATAAAATGAATTGTCCCTTTTTATTAAGGACAAAGCTTTGAAGTTGGTCTGTCCATCCACCCATCCATCCACCCATCCATCCATCCACCCACCCACTCATCCATCCATCCATCCTTCTATCCATCCATCCTCTTTTTGTTCTTGGCGGTTTCCCATAAGGTGGATTAAGCTGAGAAATGTGACTAAATCCACTTGAGGACTGTGAGGGGCCTTGAATTTGAGTCTTTCCAGTCTATAACTCCCTCTTTAACTGCTGCACAGTCTAGATTCAGTTAGGGACATCTGATCTGTTTGGGAAGATCCCGTGTGATTTGTATATTAGGCCAACCAGGAGATGTTCTAAGTTCCTTTCTTTTTCCCTACTTCAGTTTGCCCTTAAAGCGGAGCTGCCCTTCCTTCCCCGACGAATTTGATCCCATAGCCGCAAAACAAGCAAAAGAAGAAGACCCCCAACGAGGTAAGTTGGAAGTGGCAGATGTCTTCTGCATGCCCAGGAGCCTCATAGCCCAAGAAAAAGCATGGAGTCCACAGATGCAGAAGGATGCATCCCTCTGTTTGTTAACCACAACACTAACATGTCAGAGTGGCAAATTAGCAAATGGACAGGTGACCAAACTTGACTGTCTAGGGTCCTGCTTAGCCATGTCCTTCATTGTCCCATCACAATTAAGGAGAGCAATTGATGGGTTTTTTCCCACTGGAAGGTGCTATTCTGGAGAAAGAAATGAAGGTCAGGGAATCCATCAATCACTTTCCTTAATTTGTCCTGTACTAAGACAATAAGCACGATATCGCTTTCCCTTTTTCTGAGGCAGAACAGGGACAGGCATTGAGGGCAGTGAAGTTTGTGCCAGTGTCTGGGCCCAGGGAGAGTACAGAAACATGGAGTGTGGGGGATGAAGTTGTAAGGAATGCAAAAAAGGACAGGAATGTGAGACCTCAAAGCAAAGATGTAATGCAGGGGTGTCAAACTCGATTTCACTGTGGGCCACATATGGGTTGTGTTTGACATCCGGAGCTGGGTGGGCAGGGCCAAGGTAGACGTGACCAACTCAACGTCACTCGTGTTGGGGGCGCCTGTGGCGGCCCATGTGCTCTGCCAGTGAAAATGGGCTCCCGAGCTCTGTTTTCAGCTACAACAGCTTCCTGCAACCCTCTGCCAGCAGAAACGGAGTTTGGGAGTGCTGCCCATGGCCCAGGGGTGGGATTCAAACTTTTAACAACCGGTTCTGTGGGCGTGGCTTAGGTGGTAGGTGTGGCTTGATGATCATATGACTGGGTGGACATGGCTTCATGTTATTGGCTGGGCGTGGCCAACTCAATGTCACTCACATCAAGGCATGCAGCTCCTCGCCTGGCCTCTCATGACTGTGGGGATGCTGCAACAGTCATAAGTGTGAAAAATGGTCATAAGTCACTTTTTTCAGTGCCATTGTAACTTTGAATGGTCACTCCACACAAGCAAAGTACCAGCAAAGGAGGGGAAAGAAACTCCAGAGATGTTCCTGAGACAGGAAGTCTAGTCCTGCCAAGAATGCAATAAGGGTTAACAGAGAGGCAGTTTCTATAAGCAACACCAGAATGTTTCCTTCTTGCCTTCCTTACAGGATTAGGCCAGTAATTTCTTCTAACAACCGGTTCTCTGAACTACTTAGAATGTTAACGACCGGTTCTAGCGAAGAGGTGCGAACCGGTAGAATCCCACCCCTGCCGTGGCCCTCGTGAACTGCATTTTCGGCTGCGATGGCCTCCTGCACACAGCAACCGCACACAGCCCTCCCAAGCTCTGTTTTCACTGGCATAGGCATCATGGTCCGGTCCTTCGCTGTTTCAGGGTGGCCCTTTAGGCCAGATCTAAGCACCCCTTGGGACAGATCTGGCCCCCAGGCCTTGAGTTTAACACCCTTGATGTAATGGGTTTGGGAGATTCTATACCGGAAGGAGAGAAATGAGGGCTTCCTTCTTCCACATCTGCAGATAGATTTGACCATTGTCTCTTGTGTCATTCAGTTCTACTCTATGTACGACGGGAATCAGAGGAAGTTTTTGATGCTCTCATGTTGAAGACTCCCGATCTCAAAGGCCTGAGAAATGCGGTGAGTTTCTCTCCTTGGTCATCCTATGGCATGGAAGTTTGCTACCTTGGGATGAGGTGCTGAAGACATCTAGGGTGGAGAAGGGCAGCCAGCAGACCTCCACAAAAGGAATGACAACTTGAGTCAGACTGCTTCCCATCCCAGATGTTCATCCCTTCCTAGGTTTCTTTATCCTATTTTAATTTAAATCTTCTTACAATGTTGCTTAAGTAATGAGAGGAAACAACTACTGGCTGTTTAAGAGATGGCTCCACTTAGTCAATGTTGTACAACGATTCTGGTGCTGATAAAATAGAAAACCAATCTTGGGATGCTGCATTTTAAGACCTTCTCTAAAGAAATGTTTGGTTGGGATTATAACTAGCCCATTGGCAGCCTGACCTGGGCAATGGAGTCCATTTTGCATTAAACTAGAGTTTGCTAACTGGTGGTTTATAGAAAAAGGCACAATCAGTTTGTTGGTTGTATTTCCACAAGGTGCTAGCTAGGTCATGAATGGTAATTTCTATTCCTCAATGACTGTATTCATACAATGCACTCCTTAAACCAACCGTACCACATGAAGAACTAGCACGATGTGTAAACCTCATGAATATATACCATAGAGACCATCAGAACTTAAAACAACAAACGGTTCCTACTTTTCAGTTCCTGTGAAGATTTGTGTTTCACTATGAAAGGCCCCATGTGTAATTTGGTTCCTAGGCCCGTTTCTGGAGGCCATTTTCCTGTTCATTCTGTATTCTCTTTCTCTCTAGATTTTGCCTCTTTTAGCTTGGCTGGGCTGGAAGCTCTCTCCTTTTCCCTACCACCATGAATATTTGTTCAATGTTTAAAGAGCACACAATGCTGGAGCATATTTCTGTGATGTTTATCACCACCGTTCCAGATAACCCTCGGCTCGGCTTTGCTGAGGCGGGGAATAAAGCAAACAATCTCCCGAAATGATCTGATAGCCATATTTATGGCTTTGCTTTATGTGTGTGTGTCTCTTTCTGAGTGTGTGTGCCCTGCTTTTGCACACTTTCAAATTGGAAAAGAGCAAATAACACATTTCTTTTTCTGAAATCGCCTCTTGGGAGCTGTAGTTTTCCACACTGAAATGGTTTCTCTGCTTGTAGAAATGAGGCTGTGGTTTCCCCCCAAAAAGGATGGCTGAGAAGTAGAATAGAATACTGTAGAATAATAGAGTTGGAAGGGACCTTGGAGGTCTTCTAGTCCAACCTCCTGCTTAGGCAGGAAACCTTATACCATTTCAGACAAATGATTGTCCCATCTCTTCTAAAACAAACCTTACAGTGTTGGAGCAGCCACAACTTCTGGGGGCAAGTTGCTCCACTGATTAATTGTTCTAACTGTCAGGAAATTCCTCCTTAGTTCTAGGTTGCTTCTCTCCTTGATTAGTTTCCATCCATTGCTCCTTGTCCTGCCCTCAGATGCTTTGGAGAATAGTAAGAAACATGAATCTGGCCAAACCCACATTCTCCTCTAGGGAGGGAATTGGGAGACCAGGTTTAAAATTGGCCCAAATAGTGTATATCATAAGTTTTAGATTGGTTTTCAGACTGTGTGATGCTAAAATACCATTCGTTTGCTTTTGGCTTCGTACAATTTGTAGTCTTGACTTTGTGGCTTATTCAACAGATAATGACTAAAGCAAACTTTGAGTATTAAAAGAACTTCACAACAAATGTTAGGAAGGTCTACCTAAGATGCAAAAGGTCTTGTTCTAGGGGGATAGGTCAAGACTCAAGAATAAACAAAAAAGTCAAGACCGTGGCCACGATTATGTAATGATACCATTGCGGCTACCCTCTTGATTATTATTTTTGATCCTCTCTCCCAACTCCATGGGTATCCATGCATTGTTCTTGTGTTGCAAGGGAAGATTTAAACCAGTTTCAGAAGGGAGAGGGAAACATTAGAAACAGAGATTTGCCTAAGCCAACATTACTCCATAACTAGAATAGGATTTGAACAGGTTTTTACTGGATCTCATTCTATTTATCACTAAGTAGGTTTGTTCTCAGCTCTCAGTTGTTTGATTTTGACATGGGAATCTCTTTGGGACGATGCAATTGCAACGGGTTTATGGTCAGAATCGAGTGAGTTGAATGGGGAAGTATTACAGGTACTGCAATACCACCAGTGAGTTTTATAAGACTCCAGGAATCCATTCATCGGAATGTGTAGATGGATGTAAACTATTCTTTTTCATTTTCCAGATTTCAGAAAAATATGGCCTGCCAGAAGAAAGCATCTATAAAGTCTACAAAAAGTGCAAACGAGGGTAAGTGATAGTCTGTTTCCCTTGTATGACATTCCTGGTTCTTGGGTCTAGCAAGTAGGTAAGAAAATGTATACATGAAAAGAAGCAGGAATGTTGGCCAGTTTTCAGAGGTCTAGGGAAGGAATAGTATCAAATTAATTTGGAAGAAATTCTGCATGTCTTGATTAAGTACAACCAGAATCTTGCTAGATCCAGCCAAAGGCTTATCTGGTTCAGCATTTCATGAAAGCAACTACCCCTTCCTCCTTGCTGTGGCCCAACAGATCTTATTTAGGAATGCCCTCCGGCTCAGGAGATTGTTGTCTTGTAATTTAATATTCTCAACTGGAAACCTAAAGATTCATGCTCTGTGTGAGCATCAAGTATGAGATGAGGACTCTATGATTAGCCATGTTCTTTGGCTACAATGATGGAAGCTGCTTGCTAGTGGGCTTCAGTGGGCTTTCCCTGTGTCATTACTTTGGTGGAAGCTGAAATGACCTATCACAGAGGTCTCCAAACTTGGCAACTTTAAGACTTGTGGACTTTAAGACTTGTGAACTATGCTAGTTGGAAAATTCTGGGAGTTGAAGTCCAATCAGTCTTAAAGTTGCCAAGTTTGGGGACCCCTGGCCTATAGAGATGTTTCTCAACCTCAGGAATTTTAAGATGGGTGGACTTTGAATCTCAGAATTCCCCCAGCCAGCATTGGGTTCATTGGAATGGAAGGTCATCATGTGGCAGTTTGGCTGTAATTTAGGGCAATGTGTGACTGTAGCCAGGGGTGGCTTATTGTGCGAAACATAATTAAGCCATTCCACATGTAAGACAAAGTTTAGGTTACAGCACTTAGGAGATCCACACCAAAAATGGAAATTCTCTGGTCAATTTTGAACCTTCCACACTCTCTCGCCTTAGCTTGCTGTTCCTCAACCTTGGCATTTGTGGTCTTCAACTCCCAGAATTCCCCAGCCATTGGTGGCTAGGGAATTCTGGAGGTTGAACTTTACTCATCTTAAAATTGCCAGGACTGAAAACACTGCCCTAGTCTATTTACAAGAGTATTGTGAAGATACCATTGGAAGGAAAGTCCATCGCTGGCTAGAGAATTCTGAGAGTTGAAATCCACACATTTTGAAATGTCCAAGGTTGGGAAATTCATATAAACACACACACAGGAGGTGCGGGGGGGAGAGAATCACTTGTCCTACCTAAGATGGGAAATCATTTTTGTTCTAGCTTAGATTACTTTAATTTGACACCTTCCACAATAGGAGGTGAAGTTCAACCCACCTGGACATGAGTTGAACTTCACCTCCTATTTGGGGTATAGCTGGCCTTAGGTATTAAGAGTCAACGCCTTGGGAATGGGCCAAGGTTTGCGTTTCTGCTTTTCAATCTCGTTCCAGTTGGCTTCTACATACTGTGTCTTTTATTTTTAAAATATGAAGTTGTCTGGTGAGGATAAAAAAGGCCTGAGGAAGAAGCGTGTGTGTGTACATAGTGCATGGAGTGGTCTGGGGAATTTAACAGATATGTTGTTATCTCCCCGGGCAATGGCCCGAGGTCACCATCTTTGGGTTTATCTTTATCATCAGGGCATCATTGTTTATTTATTTCTCAAAACCAGCAGGATTGAAGTAACCCTTAGGCTTAGAGTGGCAGATAATACTGGAATAGAGCAGTTTTGGGAGGAAAATCTGTACTGGATTCCATTAATGGGACTCTTAGATATTACAAATATAGCATTTATTGATTGGAGATGCTAGCATTTCAGCATCAGTATGACTGGCTGGGGAATTCTGGGAGTTGAAATCTTCAAGTCTTAAACTTACTAAAGGTTGGACACCCTGCTCAGAACATAAGATTGACACTATTCTGGTGAAGGTGGTTGTTATGCAAAATGATGCAGGCTTGGAACAAAAAACCCAAGCTTTGTTTATACAGCAAAAAGAACAGGATCTTAAATCCTTACAGAGGACTCCAGGAAAATGCTCCCCCAAGGTATAACTATTGAAATAAACAGCAAATTTCACACCTGGAACCTTTGGGAATGGAACATAAATCTGGTCTGGGTTGGATGGAAGTTGGTGGTCTGAAGTTTGAGAGGGCACCAATAATCCACTGGGGCCAGGAGTGGTATCTCCAGCAAATAAAATTTAGAAATACAGGCTCTTTGCTAGTTCATACTTGAGCTAATTCATAGAACCTAGTTTGTGCTTGAGACTCCCCATTTCAGGCCAAATATTTCCCGCTTACGTAAGAACTGAGTAGCCGCTTAAAAATCTTTCGCATTCCACGTTGCAACCGAGTCTGAAGGATACAAAAGCCGGGTAGCAGGGGTGGGTGGTAAATCACCCCTAATTTTTGTTTCCCTTTTTCTCTCCTCCACCTCCCAGTCTGGTCAGACAAAGAACATAATTTGGCAGGGGGGTGGACTGCCCATCCTTCCGCTAATCTTGTTGTGTCTGGATAACTGCAGCCTGTAGCCCATCACAGAGACTGGAGGTTTTGTTCTTACTTCTAGCAACCCATGAAATCCCAGGTCCTCTTGGGGCTTCGGTTTTTACAATATGATGCAGCTCCAGATGGCTTGGTCCTTGAATATCTGATTCCAAAATGGAATTTCAGCAAAAGCAATCAAGTCAACACCTTAAAAGACCACCCTGTTTAGAGCTTTTTCTCCCATACCCCTGTCGGTCCAGGTACCTGGGCCCAACCAAGTAACCTCATTACTGCTAGAAGGGTTTGCTCTCTATTTATATACGGGTGGATTGCCAGTATTGGTGGGAGTGTTGTTTTCTTTTTGGTAGTTCCTTGATTAGGCTATTGTTTACTGTTTAATTATTTGAAATGAGTTGGTAGTTCCTTGACTGGGGTATTGTTTACTGTAATGAAACATCTGCAAGAAAACAACCAAGCTCAGAGAGCACTAAGGGATGGAACACTAAGGGTGGACGTGGCAGGGGAAGGTTACTGCAAAATCCCCATTCCCTCCCCACCCCACTAACCTGCTTTCCAGCTCCGTTCTCCTGTGTAGGGCAACCAAAGAAAACCCAGCCAATCAGCTGGTACCCAATGGGAGGCAGAGAAGAGATGGGGGCGGGGCCAGTCAGAGGTGCGATTTGCTGGTTCTCCAAACTACTCAACATTTCTGTTACCGGTTCTCTCAGAACGTGCTGAATACCAGCTCTACCTTCATTGCTTCCTCCCACTTCAACCCATTATACCTTTCTGGGTCTTTTAATGCCTCCAAGCTATTTCCAAACATAGGGCTTTTTCAGGAGAGTACTAGACCCCTGGCAGGTGACAAGTTGCAAGGAACCTGGAGACGCTTCCTTTCCCCTTCACCCCATGTCCCCTTTAGTACCACCCAGTGTGTGTGTGTGTGTGTGTGTGTGTGTGTGTGTGTGTGTGTGTGTGACTGAGGGAAGGCTGAACCTGACGTTCTAAGCATCTGCCTCACCCCACGTTAAAGACTGTGATTGATGTCCAGGAGGTGACATTCAATGGGAGGGGAAGCAAAGCCAATCCTGTTCCTTAACTTGGTCCACAGTAAATAAGTAAGGAGAAGTTCATTTGGCTGCTGTCAGTCTTGTTGCTGTGGCAGAATACAGCTTGGCACTGAGCAGCACAATTTATATAATTAACTGCCAGCTCGATGACACTTCAGCATGGCATCAGAGTTTCTGGTCTCCTGAACGTCCCTTGCTGAGAGTCATTGCAGAATTTTGTGTATGAAGCATTATTTTAACAACTGGAAATTTCATGGTTTAATTAAACAAGACTCCGCTAATAATCCCAGTAAAACAGGTGCTAACGTGGCACAAAAACATATGTAGCTTAAACCGTGCTGGAAAGATCTTGCTCTAACTTGCAAAGTATTTCGTAGGTGGTACCTGGAAGTCGCTGAGAAGTTGTGCCTAAATGGGTCTTACATTTACTATCTTTAAAAAAAAAAACATTGTGCTTTCCAGAAAACCTGCTACAGAGGTGTCATTGGGAAAGGGGAGGGTTTTAGCTAGTGAAAAGATAGGTGGGGAAAATTTAAAAGAGGAAGATAGTGACAAATTGACAAATGGCGTGCAGAGCCATTTGTGCTGGAATGCGAACCTCAGGCAAACTTACCTCACTGCGTATGCACTGCAAATGCCTCACAGCTGATTTTTGGCCTGTTTGAGGCCTTTTTCGGCCTCCCAGAGGCTTAAGGAAAAGCCTTTGCAAGCTGAAAAATAGACCTGTTTCATCACTTCCTGTATTTCCGGAAATCTGGAAGCGACGAAATGAGCCCATTTTTCGGCCTGCAAAGCCTGAAGAAGCTTTCTTCAAGCCTCTGGGAAGCCTAAAAAGGCCACAAACAGGCCAAAAATCTGCGGGCAGTGCAGGTAAGGGGGTGGCAGGGTGGATTGTGCACATATGCGCAGGGGGCATATGCGCATGTATACCTCATTCAGATGTATAATAACATATTACAGTACAATTCATCTCTTATGTATTATACTTGATAAAGTGTCAGTCAGTGTTGGATGTATATTTTGTGTATATTTGTAGATATTGTACTCTCTAATTGCAAATGGAGAAGTGTGTACTCTATTTTTCTTATCTCCATTTTTAAGTGCTCTGCTTTTATTAAGTGCTCTCCTCCTCTTCCTCCTCCTCCTTCTTCCTCCTCCCCCTTTCTTCTTCCTCTTCCTCCCTTCTTCCTTCTTCTCCTTATCTTCATTTTTAAGTGCTCTGCTTTTATTGTATTGCAAACAGTTGCTGGGGTGCATCTATAGTTTTGTTGTACTTGTACAATGACAATAAAGTTTCTTCTTCTTCTTCTTCTTCTTCTTCTTCTTCTTCTTCTTCTTCTTCTTCTTCTTCTTCTTCTTCTTCTTCTTCTTCTTCTTCTTCTTCTCCTCCTCCTCCTCCTCCTCCTCCTCCTCCTTCTCTTCCTTCTCATTCCTCCTCCCCCTTTCTTCTTCCTCTTCCTCCCTTCTTCCTTCTTCCTTCTTCTCCTTCTCCTTCTTCTTCCTCCTCCCCCTTTCTTCCTCCTCCCCCTTTCTTTCTTTCTTTCTTTCTTTCTTTCTTTCTTTCTTTCTTTCTTTCTTTCTTTCTTTCTTTCTTTCTTTCTTTCTTTCTTTCTTCTTCTTCTTCTCCTTCTCCTTCTCCTTCTTCTCCTCCTCCTCCTCCTCCTTCCCGAACTTCCAGGAGGCCCATTTTTCACCCTCCCTGAACCTCTGCAGGTGGGCTGGGCGGAACCAGCCAGGAGTGGGATTCAGGAGTTCTCCCAACTGCACAGAAAATTAGCTAGGGGCTCTCCCAAACCCCTGCAAACCCCCAGCAGCCCACCTGTGTATCAAGGGTAGCCTTACTACTAGAAAGGAAGCGGCTACTCTGCCCTGCTGCTGAAAAACAAACCCTCGCACAATCCTGGTGGAAACCCTCTGGTTCTCCTCCGTGGAGGACAGGCTGCCAAAGCCTCTTCTTGATTGCCTTGATTGTCAGCCCTCCAGCTTTGGTGGGCGGGGGGGGGGGGGGGGGGGGGGGGGGGGGGGGGAGGCGAGTTTCATTCCATGGGAACCAGCTTGCAAAGGGTTTCCAGAGTGGCGTCAGGGGAAGGGAAAAAAAACAAAAACAAACGCCGTGCCTCTGAATCGCCTCGGGTACTCCCAGCAAACCGCAGCTCGTCTCCCCCAGCCTGTCTCTCTTTGCGAGTGCCAAGCACTTCTCTTCTTCCCCGTCCTCCTTGGAGCCCTTGCAAGGGAAGGAGATGCAGCCCAGGAGCCCAGGGTTTTCCTCCAGCTCCTCCCCATCGATGCTTGGCAGATGAGCTCATGTTTGCCTTGGCTCACGTCCAAGGCCTGGGCTTAAAAGAACCGAGAGGCAGCCAAGTTCAGGATGGTGAGAAGGTGTGCCTGGGGCAGGTGCTGTGAAAGGGGCTTTTGGCTGAGGAGGGGGGGCTGGCTGGGGGGGGAAGGGACGCCCTCTTTAGAGAGGGTAGCCCAGCCTCCCCCCAAGAGTGACGCCTTCCAAAAACATCAAGATGACGTCTCTCCGAATATCCACCCCGCTGGCTGGGTGGCCTGGGGGCTTCTCTACAGGTAGCCCTCAACTTACAATGTCTACTGCTAAAGGGAAGGAGTCGTTAAGTGAGACGTGCCTAATTTGTCGCTGCAGTCATTAAGCGAACCACCGGGGTTAAGTTAAGCAAGTCCAGCTTTTCCCACTCAGTTTGCTTGTTGGAAGCTGGCTGGGAAGATCACAAATAAATGGTGGTTGTGTGGCCCTAGAACACTGCAACTATTGTAAATACAATCTGGTTGCAAGGGGCCTGAATTTTGATTATGTGAATGTGGGGACGCAGCAACACTTGTAACTGGAAGTGGTTGTAGGTCATTCCCCGCTCCCCGCAGTGCCTTCGTAACTTCGGTCACTAAACGAATGGTAAGTCAAGGACTCCCCGTAGTCTCACTATATTTAGAAGGCATTTGGTTTTGGGCAGGCTGGAGTAGATCTTCTCATAGCATGCCACCCACCTGGACAATGCCTTGTGGAACATTATCCAAGCTGGTAGGTAGCTGCATGGCGCTGCCTAGCTAAGCCCGGCCTAGTAGGATAAGATTTCAACAAGCCTGAGCCTCAAACCGTCCTCAAGGTCTCCCTAGCCTAAGAGGGGCCCAGTGGAACAGCAATCCAGGGAAGCCCTCAAAGAAAATATCCTTTCCAGTATGAGGCGAAGGGACAGGATGGCCGCCATCTTCCTTGGCCAAACTCTGCTGGCAGGGCTGTTGACATCACCAGTTGTGTACATCCACCTCTACTGGGTCCCTTTTGGAAGCTACTTTTTTAGATGGATGCAGCTCTGATTCTAAAGCAGCCTCTTTTTTTTTGCCCTCTTGGAGATGGCAGTGTAGATATACTGTGCAGTACATGTGCCAAATTTCTATTTGAGCAATGACAAAAAGTTGCTCTGTTCTGCAAAAACCAGGAAATATTAAGTACTACCAAGCTGTGGTTACTTGTCTGCATAAATGTCCTGCTTTGCACCTCAGATAACAATTCAAATTATCAATCAGAGCTGCACTTGTGAAATATATAATATGATAGTAATTCAACCAGTTCCTGGCTTCATGGTTTTGGGATTTTCTCTCTTTACTTGGAAACTGTTTGGCTGGCTGGGATTGTGCTCCAGAAGGAAGGCTGAAATCTCCACCAAAACCCACAAGTTGGGTGGTAAAATAAACAGAGTCGGTTGCTAGCTGGGTCTGAAGTCTCTGCACCAGCTTCCTGGGCATAATATGTGGAGGTGTGTAGCTGTCTGAAATGTTGAGGTGTTGGGGTGTTTGGCACAAAGAGGCTGGAGGCAAAAGTGTTAATAAAGTGCAGCTCACAAAGGTTTTTGCTTTGGTAATAAAATGCATTTGTTGAAAAAGAGGCTGCCAAGTTCCTTCTGATTGCTTGCTTTTAAGAACTAGTATAGTTGACTCTGGATTTGCATGGTCATTTCACATGTTAGATGATTATGGGTGACTTTCATTCTTTTGCTATTTATGACTGGTATATCAGGTTGCTTAGTAAAGTTGAACCAGGAAGCTTTCTTTTCTTTTTTTTTGCCAGGGATTGCATGCAGTATTTTTCAACCTTGGCAACTTTAAGATATGTGGATTTCAACTCCCAGGATTCCTCAGGCAGGCTGGGGAATCCTGGGAGATGAAATCCACACATTTTTACATTGCCAAGGTTGAAACACAGTGTGCATGTGGTAGCGTTGCTACTACTGCTACAGAGGGTCATGATTGCTAAAACTGCAATGTAATTTAATTTTTTGTTTGACAGGTTAGAGAATTTAATGGAGCAAACAGATACTGTATGTTGAAACTTTCAGAGATGATATACCCCTCCCAAATGTATCTTATGCAAAATTGCCAGAATCTGCTTTCTTGAAAATTAACCCATTGTGGAGTCCAGTTTTGACAACATGATTTGGTGGTGCTTGAATAATATGATTATATTTGTTGTTGGAAGAGGTGGTATTAATTAATTGCAGTATACAATTGGTACAAATATTAAATATGACACTAGGAGCAATGGATGGATGGATGGATGGATGGATGGATGGATGGATGATACCAAGCAGCTGAGTTATATCATGGAACATAAGATCACTGCTTTCAGAGTCTGCCTTTCCACTTCAAATGACAGGAATTAACTTCAACTATACTGGCTGCAGATGACAAGAAATATAATTCAAAAAAAATCTCATTTTATTTTATCATTTCCCATAACTATATCCATGCTTTGTTTTGTTTTATTGTAATCACTACATTGTTAATGCAGGAATCAAAGACAGAATAGTAGCACAAAATCTTCTCGGTCACTGCTTTTCTGTTTGAAAGTTCCTCCTGGCTCATTCACAAAAATCCCACATACCCCAAAAACACCAGGTTGGGTGGGAAGAGCTCTCAGAACAAATGCCTGTCTTCCTCTGGAAATTGCTGGATTCTCTCCTCTGAGCAACTCCCAACGGAAGATTATCAAGCAATATCCTGCACAGTGTCCTCTTCTCTTACTCTGCCCAGCCTTATCTTTGGAGCTTGCATTGTTGCTGATATCCAAATACAGTGTTCAGCTGACTAACCTTTCTGTTGCTTTCTTCTTCTTCTCACAGCATCTTGGTAAATATGGACAACAACATAATCCAACATTACAGCAACCATATGGCTTTCCTCCTTGATGTGGTGGAAGCTGAGGAGAAGTTCCAGGTGACCCTCAAGGAACTCTGAAGACTCCAAAACCTGCACTTCTGTGGGATGATTGACAGCGGGGTGGAGTTTCACTCTCCTTCTGTGCAAGCCCAACCCATCAGTTCAGAGTATTTGACTGGTCCGCGACCCCCTTTGAAGGGGGAGAAGTAACCAGAGATGGTGGCCGAGCTCTACATGTGAAGAGGGTGTAGAAGATCCATTCTCAATGTGAATGTGGAACTTCTCTCCATTATTGTTGCTATTGTTATTATTATTGTTATTATTTTATACTATATTATGATGCTGGTTGTCTGCCAGGCTGAGAATTCTAACCTTTTTCCCTGTCAGATAGCAGTGCCTAAATCTCCTTCGTTTTGCTTTTTTGGAAATGGTTTAGTGTCAACTCTTGGGGCCAGGAGGCAAAAACCAAGTTCTAGACATGGTGAATTTTCAAACTAGCTTCAAAGACACAGCCCTGTGTTCCCTCACCCTACGTCCCTTCTTGCCTCAGAGGCCTGGATGTTCCCATCCAGAGCAACCGTGACTGTTTTATACATTTCCAATGCCTTTTTGTTATTTTATAAATATCCAAACATGTGCATATGTATAAATATACCTTGTTTTATATATTGACATGGAGGAAAGTACAGCATTTCAAAACCAGCTGCCTCATAGTTCCCTACACGGGCTGTCTTTCCCCCTCCCCCTTCTTCGTTCATTTTTCTAACTTTTTTTTTTTTTTTGTATATTCTATTGCAATAAAGATTCATTGACAGAAATGCAAGCCTGGCATAATGTAGATCCAAGGAAAGAAGCAGTTTCCGTGATTCATTAAAATGCATTTATTAAAATGCATAAAATCAAGATGGCGGTCACAACTAGGTGACCAAATCCTTTTTTTTTTGCATGGACGTAAAAAAGGGGTAGAACTTTGAACTCATGGTTGTGGTAGCCATCTTGACTTTTTTTCCCCCTCTTGTGGAACCCCTGGTGTTGCAGTGGATCGCAACCATTATCACTCCCCTGTGTGTGTGTTAGTGGGTATGCCGTCTCTTGTTCTTGGGGGGAGAAGCTTGGAGGCAATTAAAATCCATTCCTACAGGACCTAAGCCATCTCTCTTTCTTCCGGGACATTCAGGAATCCAATCGAAGGGATTATCTGTAGCTCAGAGTTGAACTGTGGAGTTCCTGGTGACCTCAGAGCTCAAGGGTTCGTTTGTTTGCAGACATTTCATGACCCAACTAAGTCATATCATCAGTTCCAAGAAACATCATAATCTTACAGAGACAATGTCCCCTAGTTAGGTAAGGAAACACCTGCAAGCAAACCACCAAACTCAGCGAACATAGATCATGTGTTGCTGTATTGCTGTAGCAAAAACTAAATTGACTCCAAGAAATTTTGAGGAAAAATGGGTTGTGAGCCTAGACTCACCCATTCATGACCGTAATTGGTATGGCTGGGCTGGAATAAAAAGAGAAGTTAAACAGCACATTTACCTCTGCACAATACAGGTAATCCTGGACTCGCAACCTGTTGCTTAGCAACCGTTTAACATTCCGGCGGACCTATCTGGGGTATTTACAACCTGGATTCCAAATTCCAATGGTTGAGCCCCCATTGCAGTCAGATGGCTGAACTTCGGCTGCTTGGCAAACAGGTGCATTTATGGCCATTTGCAGCATCCAATGGTCATGCGACCACATTTTTTTGCCCAAAACCTGGCATTGACTTCTGCTTTTTTGTGGCAAAACTGACTTATAGCAAATCATGGGTTAACTTAATTGATGCAAAAAAAAAGTCATTAAATTGAGTCAGTCACATAACCAACCTGCTTTACAACCATCACAAGTCTTGAACATGTGGGTTCTGTTACAGTCGTAACTCAAGGACTACCTTTGTCCTTGAGTTAATGAAGCTAAGGATAAGAATCTTCTTTTGGGGAGAAAGGGAAAGTATGTGAATTTGATTAACAAACAAATAAAAACATGGTCTCTGACAAATGAACTTGAGGACCAAAGGAAAGGATGGCAAACAGGAGCAGCAACAGAGGGAAGAATAAAAAGCTCCGAATTTGAGGTGGAAAACACAAGAAAGAATTAAGCTGAACAAGTTTTACAAGGGGAAAAAAAGCCTTTCCTGAATCAGAACTGAAGAAGCTTCTGGGATGAGAAGCTAAACATTTCTGAGGAATAAAAAAACAAGAAAGTCCAGTTGTCTTTTGGAAAAGCACCTTTGAGGCAACTATGAACTGGACAATTGAAAATCTCCACAGAAATGGCAAAATGACAGTTTTGCTCTTTTGCCAAAGTGTCTTCAGGTTGAGGTTAAAAAAACAAAACAAAATGGCAGCCAGAATGATGTCATCAAAGCTCTGGCCCATTTTATGTGTCAGGCACGGGTTTTTTTTAACTGCCACCTGCAAATGTCCTTGCCTTTTCCTGTTGATTTACCAGTGAACCTCTAAACAGCTGGAAACGGATCTGGGTGGAAATGCCCTGTCACCTAACAGGGGGGCAGCACTTCAGTCTACTGATTCTGGTTTAGCATGTTCAAGGAATGTGGTGACTGCTATTACAAGTGAGGTTATGATTTCCTGCACAGTTATGCAACTTTGTCCTGGAGGACGGCCACCATTCCTTCAACCATTCCCCCAGAAAGTGCTTGCCCAGAATGAAAACTAAATATGACATGCATGTTTTCATTGACACCTAAAAAGCAACAGAAGTTAAGCCAGATTTTTTAAACAGAAGAAGAGAGTTGGAAGGGACCTTGAAATTTTCTAGTCCAACCCTCTCCTCAAGCAGGAAACCCTACACCATTTCAGACAAATGTTTATCCAATCTCTTCTTAAAAACTTCCAGCGTTGGAGTAGCCACAACCTCTGGAAGCAGGTTGTTCCACTGGTTAATTGTTCTATCAGGAAACTTCTTAGTCTCTTCTTGTCCTGCCTTCAGGTGCTTTGGAGAATAAGTTCATCCCCTCTTCTGTGTGGCATCCCCTTAGATATTGGAACACTGCTATCATGTCACCCCTAGTCCTTCATTAAGCAAGACATACCCAGTTCTTGCAACTGTTCTTTGTATGGTTTGGTCTCCATTAAACTAGCTCTTAGAATTACTGTCCAGTCATATATATAAAAGTTATCCCTTTCTATCATATTAAACATTACAATTTGGTAAGAACTTTTGGAAGCCTCTGTGGACCAAGCCTGAGAAATTGGAGGGGCAGGGATGAGCCCGGCAATGCAAAGATGAAACTTGCTTGTTGAGTGAATTGTGATCTTCCCAACAACTGTGATCTTCTAGAGCAAGGGTCTTCAAACTTGGCAAGTTTAAGACTTATGGACTTCAACTCTCAGAATTCCTGAGCTAATATGACTGGGAGGAGGAATTCTGGGAGTTGAAGTCCACAAGTCTTAAAGCTGTCAAGTTTGAAGACCCTTGTTCTAGAGTATGGGAAGATCACAATTCACTCAACAAGCAAAGTCCATCTTTGCATCTTCTCAGGCTTGGTCCAAAGAGGCCACCAAAAGCTCTTATGGATGAAACGTTAAACTAGCCATGCCTAGCCATAGCTGTGTTGAGAAACACTGCCATAGGAGCTCTTTGTATTTTCATATCTAGCTTCTGAATCTGCTCCTAGTTTCCTTCACCTGACAGTTCACTAAATTACGACCAATTCTAATAGGAACATTTGTCCAACGTGCTCTGTTGATTTATTGATCGAAGGCCAGTCCATCTGCTTAGTTCGTGGTTGACAATAAATCTCATTGGATTAGCATCCACTCAATTTCAGACACTGTTGTGAGAGTAAGAGTTCCGTGTTCATCTTCTCCATACCTATAATTGTATAAATGTTTTTGTATCTTTCCCTCAGACACAAACATTTTCCCACAGCACTTGGTTTCCCACAGTCAAGAAGTAAATCTAAACCAGGGGTCTTCAAACATGGCCACTTTAAGACATGTGGAATTCAACTCCCAGAATTCCCCAGCCAGCATGGCTGGCTGGGGAATTCTGGGAGTTGAAGTCCAAAAGTCTTAAAGTGGCTAAGTTTGGAGATCCTTGATCTAAACCATGTCAGAATTTGTCATTTTGGCCCAGAATTCCTGCCAAGGAAGATTAGTGCCTGACCTGAAAATCGGTAGTTGAAACAATTGCGACTTTCCGTCCAAAACTCTTTTTCAATCCTACAATACCGAACCAGTGAAAAACGAATGTTTTCCACCCATCAAAAGATATACAGAATTTTCTAATGATCTAAAAATAGACTCTGCCAAAACCAACCTTGTGGAATCTCTTCCTTTATAATACTGGCACCCATTTGTTGCTGACGTTGTACATGAAGGATTGTTTTTGTGGAATGGGGATGTTGTAAGCCCCTGGAAGGAAAAACACAGAATTTTATGGGATCGGTTTGCAGGGTGGGGACGTTCCTTCTCGTCCTTATATTTCTCTCACGCCCCTTGCTTTCTGCAATACAGGTGGTCCTTGACTTACAACCACAATTGAGCCCCAAATTTCTGTTGTTAAGCAAGGCAGTTGTGAAGTGACTTTTGCCCCCATTTTATGACCTTTCTTGCCACAATTGTTAAGTGAATCACTGCCATTGTTAAATGAAGCTGGCTTCCCCATTGATTATGCTGGTCAGAGGGTCGCAAAAGGCGATCACATGACCCCAGGACCCTGCTACCCATCGTAAATACATGCCAGTTGCTAAGCATCTGAATTTTGATCACGTGACCATGGGGATGCTGATACAGTTGTAAGTGTGAAAAACGGCTGTAAGCCCATTTTTTTCAGCGCTGTTGTAACTTCGAACGGTCACTAAACACAAATGTTTGCAAGCTGAGGACTACCTATATTAAACTACTCACCTGCTTGCTTTATGCAGCTTTCCCTCTGCTTGGCAAATGCAAAGGGGGGGGGGCGGGGAAGAAACCCCCTCAGGTACCGCAGTTGATCAGATGCTGGCACCCAACCTTTCAGGCAACAGAAGTGCAGAGGAAGCAGTTCAGCTATGGGCTGGGTTACTTTATTTTATTTTATTTTCCCAAGCAGCAGGGCTCCAAATCAGATGCATGGAAAATAGAAATTCAGCAGGCGCAGCTGCGTCTGCATGTCAGGCGGAGCAATGTCTAGCAAATTCCTCCTTTCTCTGCAGTTCAGGGCACAGATGTGCTGCCAGGGGGGGGGAAAAAAAAAAGCACTGACGAACTTGTGTGCAACCACAAGTTGGGACTAGAAGGAGGCGCAAGTGGCAATGAGGAAGCAGCATTTTCCTCCACCTCCTTTGCTGCAGAAGCTCCACAGAATGGTTCCCAGCCAGGCTGTCTTCACACATCCTGCTAAGCCAGGGGTGTCAAACTCAAGGCCCGTGGGCCAGATCCGGCCCTTGGGATGTTTAGATCTGGCCCACAGGGCTGCTCTGGAAACAGCAAAGGACCGGCCCGCAAGTCCCTCTACAAATGGAGATCAGGAGGGTCAAGCTCCATTTTTTGGGGAGTGGAGCAGAGGGTTTGTGATGACCCAGGGTGGGATACAAAACAAACACAGTCACAGAAAACAGGTGAAGCCCCTTTTATTCCTTCACTTTCCTTCCAAGCTCCAAAGATTCTTGATGGAAGCCAAAAAAAAGTCCCACACAAACAGTTACAAGAAGAAGGGAAAAAGCAACACCAACCAAGCAAGATAAGGGCTGGAGGATGTCCACAGATAACACACACTGAGAAGGATGCCAAACTCAGAGAGAAACCATCAACTAGAGATATTTCACGCTTTGTTTCCAGCGTTTACCCGTATGCAGGTCCTTCCTCTTACTCAGTTGTCACAGCTGCAGCCCATGAAGAGGAACAAGGCCCTCTCCTCCAGAGCGGACCATGTCTCTCCCTTATCCTCTCCTCCCTGCGTGCCCTAGGATGGAGAGGGGATGGGCCTGGGTCCTCCTCTGACTGCCCAGCCGGCCTCTGCCCTTCCCCAGCCTCCTCCACAAACTCCAGAGCCACCCTTCCACTCCCTGTCAACTGCTCCTCCTCTCCCTCGGAGTCAGTCTCCACCAGGGGCAGGACAGGGTTGCAGGAGGCCACTGCAGCCAAAAACGGAGCTTGGGAGACCATTTTTGCTGGCAGAGCACTCAAGCTACCACAGGTGCCCACAACACGAGTGATGTTGACCTGGACATGCCCCCCCTGACCCCCCCAAGGTCAAACACAATCCTGATGTGGCCCTCAATGAAATAGAGTTTGACACCCCCTGTGCTCAACCATCATGGAATTTAACACAATCAAAGCACCTAGTCCAAGGCCGACCAAGCAGACTTAGAGATCAGATTCACAGCTTGCACTAACCCAGGGTTTCTGGGAAAAGCTAATACTGGCTGAGGTTCATAACACAGATAAAGGCTCTTGTTGGTTAGGGATGGTGTGAGCTGTAGTCCAATTCAGTACAGGTAGCACAGGTAGTTCAGTACACAATTTCAAGTTGTGCCGATAATTAAGCAGGCCATCCCGCAACCAATCAATTTTAAGACTTTTTTTTTCCCTGGCAGTTGTTAAGGGAATACAATGTCCACAATGGGCATTTTTACTACCAGCTCTGTGGGCATGGCAGGGAAAGGATATACTGCAAAACCCTATTCCATCCCCACCCCACTAACCTGCTTTCCACTCTATTCTCCTGTGCAGGGCAACCAAAGAAGACCCAGCCAATCAGTGGTGGGATTCAAATTTTTTTACTACTGGTTCTCTGGGCGTGGCTTGGTGGGTGTGGCAGGGGAAGGATACTGTCAAATCTCCATTCCCTCCCCACCCTACTAACCTGCTTTCCAGCTCCATTCTCCTGTGCAGGGCAACAAAAGAAGACCCAGCCGATCATCTGGGACTCAATGGGAGGCAGAGAATAGATGGGGCAGGGCCAGTCAGAGGTGGTATTCTAAACTACTCAAAATTTCCACTACCGGTTCTCCAGAACTGGTCAGAACCTGCTGGATACCACCTCTGCATGAGGCCATTGAAAAGATGAAGCTCGGAGTCTTTTCAGGTTTGCAGTTAGGGGGTCTTGATTCTACTTGATCAATTTTACAACACATTTGCACATTTCTGTACTATCAAGACTACTGGAGTTCATAAAGTCATAAGATTGGAAAGAAACACTTTTGAAAAACGCGAAGGCAGGGGCATCCATGAGATTCCTAGTAGACTTTTGAAGTGATCTGTCCCTTCAACACATTTTTGTGAAAATGGACTCCAACCACGGTAGAATACCAAAACAGAGATAATATTATGCTGGCAGTAAGATTTAAACAATAACTTTCCAGAGTTCAAGCAATTTACATTTGTACCTCCCATAAGATTTATCAACTATAAAGGAAAGTAAGCATTAATAAAGATGTTTTTTAAAATTCCTTCTATTTATTTTTTTGTTCCTTTCTTAAAGGAAAGCCATAATTGTTCCTTTTAAAAAAAGTATTTGGCTTTCCATGGGCTTTGAAAAGTTTTTTTTTAAATCCATTTAAGCCCTTCTCATATTTTAGGATGTGTAGTTTATCCTGATAATTCCAAATATTCAGCCTAGAAACTCTATTACCAGTGATTAATGACCACTTTTCATAAATCAAAGGCAACATTGCCATTGTCTTCATCTCAGACTCCACATTCATCTGTCAGAAGGACTTAAGAGATTTTTGGTGTCCTTTACTTCCTTTAAGGGCTGAAGGAAATATTATGTTACCACTTGGGACTGATTGCTCACAAATCTCAAGCCTGCTTTAGCCAATATCAGCTCTTGTGTTTTTCACCCGATCCCACCTCCGCAGGTGATGTCTTGTCCCTCTGTGAAGGAATATTCAGAACTGGTTAAAAGGACAAGGAAGTGGTAGGAGCCTTGAAAAAAACATCTTATACTGCCCTTCTTCAAATACAGGATGTCCTTGACTGACGACACCAATTGTGACCAGAATTTCCATTGCGAAGCAAGATGGCTGTTAGGTAAATGATAGCTGATTTTACAACTTTTTTGTTGTTGCCATGACTATAAAGCAAATAGACGCAGAAGTGAATCACTTGATTGTTAGGCAAATCCAGTTTTCCCATAGATTTTCCTTGTCATAAGTCAGCTGGGAAGTGTTGTGGTTTGCCGGCAGCAAGTGTGGGCGGCAGAGGTCTCTGACAGCAAGGAGCCTGTCGAGGACTCGGATGAGGGGCCTGAGTGCGATGCAGGGATGGGGCCAGGACTATCGGAGAGTGGGGTGCTGCCTTCGGACCTTGTGGAGTCTGGCAGCAGTGACGCAGAGGGCCCCGGGGAGCCTGTGCCCAGTGTGCATGTGCGCAGGGCTGCTAGAAGGCGAGAGCAGCTGAAGTAGCAAGGGTGACTCAGGAGTAAGGCTGGAAGGGGATTGGCCCCTCCCATAAGGGATAAAAACCAGCCCTCGGGGATGTGCTCTTTGCAGGAAGCAAAGAAGTTCTTTAGACTCTGAGCCCTCGTTGAAGCCCTGCGAACTCCGATTTGTTTTAGAAATTTCTGTCGGTGGATATTTATCAATAAATAGACTTCTGTTCTTGGCAGCCTTTTGCAACCTTGATGAAAGGGCTTGCTTTCATCTCGGACAATTAGGTTTAAATGACTCTTGGCTGGGAATGCAGAGAATTCCCAGCACCACATTAAAAAAGGTTTGCTTTTATACACAATTTGTGTTTGTTTAATTTGAACAAGGCTTGGGTCAGAATAGGAAGATTGGAAATGGTGATCATGTGACCCTGGGATGCTGCAACCATCATAAATCCATGTCGGTTGCCGAGTGCCTAGTTTTGGTCACATGACCATGGGGATGCTGCGACAATCATATAGTAAGTGTGAGGACTGGTTATAAGTCACTTCTTTCACAGCGCTATCCAGGGGTGGGATTCAAATTTTTTAACAACTGGTTCTGTGGGCATGGCTTAGGTGGTAGGCATGCTTGGTGGTCATGTGACTGGGTGGATGTGGCTTGGTGGTCATGTTATTGGCTGGGCGTGGCCAACTCAATATCACTCACACCGAGGCACGCATCTCCTCGCCTGGCCTCTCATAACTGTGGGGATGCTGCAACAGTCGTAAGTGTGAAAAATGGTCATAAGTCACTTTTTTCAGTGCCATTGTAACTTTGAATGGTCACTCCACACAAGCAAAGTACCAGCAAAGGAGGGGAAAAAAACTCCAGAGAAGTTCCAGAGACTGGAAGTCTAGTCCTGCCAAGAATGTAATAAGGGTTAACGGAGAGGCAGTTTCTGTAAGCAACACCAGAATGTTTCCTTCCTGCCTTCCTTACAGGATTAGGCCAGTAATTTCTTCTAACAACCAGTTCTCTGAACTACTTAGAATGTTGACAAGTTCTAGTGAATAGGTGCAAACTGGTAGAATCCCACCCCTGGCGCTATCGTAACTTGGGTCACTAAACAAATGGCTGTAAGTCAAGGACTACCTGTACTGTAACAGAAGGCAAAAATGTCACTCCAACTAATAAAGCTGAATATCCTTGATCATACTTTCAAAGGCAAAGGGGAAAGAATAAGGAGAAAAGATTAAAGCGTGAGAAAAAAATGAGGCAAGGAAATGACAGGATAGCAGTAGCAATAGCACTTAGATGCCATAGTGCTTTGCAACCCTCTCTAAGCGGTTTACAGAGTCAGCCTATTGCTCCCAACAATCTGGGTCCTCATTTTATCAACCTCGGAAAGATGAAGGTTGAGTCAACCTTGAGCCTGGTGAGATTCGAACTGCCAAACTGCTAGCAGCCAGCAGTCAAGAGAACTAGCCTGTAGTACTGCACCGCTATGGCTCAGGATGTCTTCTTTGGTTCAAGCTTTGGCTGACATTCGGCTTTCTAAAAGCCATTACTTGACCTAATTTCTGCGAATAACAGCAAATTAGAAATCTTTCTTTAAAAAACCAAATCACCATTGACAACATCACATTCAGTCAATTGCAGAAAGCAGTGTTACTTGGAACAGCTTATATCCTGCCCCGGGGGCCTTTAATACCATCAAACAAAGCATCTGCCTATCCCAGGTCCTTGGGAAGGACTCTATAGATGGATAAAAATGTCAAATCCAGCCTAAACATCTGGCAGACTGTGCAGCCATCCATCATAAAGATAGTAGTATCAATAATAATAAGCACCTTGGGTGCAATCTGAAAACATCTGGAGCACCACTGGGTCCACTATTGGCATTGTCGAAAGCACCATCGTTCAATCGCAAAAGGTAGCTTTACCTGAAACAATGCCACCACCAGACCATAACATATGCCTATCCCAGGTCAGGACTCAATAGTTGGATAAAAATGCCAAATCCAGTCTAAACAACTGCTAACAATAATAATAAATATGAATACAGCCTTGGGGCAGTTCACAATATACAGCCTTAGTTATTATAGTCATTTTCCGGTTGGGCAAGGCAAGCATTACAGGACTGAAGAATCACACATTCATCATCTACCTTCTGTAGCGACACACCCTACAAGCCCCACCACAAGGTCATCAATGACCAAATAGTGTGCTGGCAATGCAAGGAACCGAGGGATGTTTTTCCAAAGGTAATTCACGATACAGCCTGTTTACAAACTCTTCTACCAAATGACATGGAAGCCACAGGTTCTGCTAATTAACCTTTTCGAATAATTGGAGCCCAATGCACCACCTTTCTTGAGGTTTGGCAACAGGTTATGAAAGTCCCATTTTGTGGCAAGACAGGTAGTTTTCAAAGAAGCCTCAGCAAAAAATACTAAAAAAAAAAAATCAAGATGGTGAACATGATGATAAACAAAAACAGGTGAAGCTTTGACTGCACTGTCAGGGCTGCCATCTTGACTCTTCTGACCATGCCTTGAAAATATCGACACTTCCAACTACATTCTTGTACTGTAGTTTCCTTTTGTCAATTTCCCCTTCTGACTTTCTTTTTCGCTTGCTCTTGGCCTCTCCAGCCAACTGACTGACCCTTTCTGAGCTTCACTTTCATTCTTCTTCTCAAATGGATGACTATCTGGTCTACTATAGGGGCATTTAATAACAAGTTATATTCTCACCTGGTCCAGGTATGCCTTTGTGGAGTTTATCACCTGTCCAGCGTTTTGTGTTTGAAACAAATACAGCACTGGAGATATAGTGCTTAGAAGGTGCTGTGTAGTCCACTAGGTCATATTGGCCAGGCCCCGGTAAAGGTGGATTTTGTGGGGGAGGAACAGCTGGAGCGGAGAAATTCAAGATGCACTTCCTCCTATCAAAAACAAAACAAAACATAGTCTTAAATTCTCTGAGGTTTTAATTGGAGTGATAACCTATGGGAAATTCCCCCAGCTAGAGATTTAGGGTCTATAACTCCCATAGTTCCCCAGTCTACATGGCCTAATAACAAATCTAAGTTGAAACTAGAAGACATTAGAACTAAGTTTAGAACAATTCTAGGTTGGCTCCTATTTTGTAGGGACACCTGCATGACATCATCTTGGCCTTCAAAGTTCTTGGTGTTTCAAGACCCTCCAGGATAGCGTGTAATAACACTTTGGAGTCAGGTGCTTCAAAATGTAGAAAATGTGCCACCATAACACCTGGCTGCCACTCTTTCCAGCAGTGTTTCTCAACCTGGGACAGCTTTAAGATGCATTCTACACCTGCTGGCTTGGACTGGCAATTGGATTCTACCCATCTTAAAGTTGCCAAGGTTAAGTAACACTGCTTTAAATCCAACGTTTATGTTCCTAGGATTGTGCTAAAAAGAAGTTGCAAAGCTGGTTTTGCATGAGCACTGCTATCCATTCGAATCAGAAACACGACACATTCTTACTCTAGAATACCTTCCCTAGAAATTCTGCCTGGTAATTCTAGAGCACTTTTTAGGGACTTCTTGAAGATAAGAGCAAAAAGTTGCTCTTCTCATTAGAAAAGATGGTGACAATGCATGTATCAGCCGTTACTCTAATGTCAGCTTGACATCAATGGGAATTGAAATGGCCTCTGGAATGTTCTAGTATTTTCTGCCAGCAGATATGTCTTTGACTCACCAGGTTTGATCTACTTCTTCCCTGTTTGGTTGGTTTATGGCTATTACCCACTGCCTGTTCCCCCTGCATTAAAAATGAGATGTAGTAAAGATACCTCTGACCGTATGCAGAGAGTAGCAGGTCTGTATTAGGAGAGGAGGAAGGGTGAGCTCTGGGAAGTATTTGGGCAAGAATGTAGGGGATAGATCTTAATCTTATCTCTAGCAAAATGTCTCCACTGTTTGCAGGACAGTCACTATAAAATTGACTTGGTTGAGCAACTGGCTAATAGTTTTATTAGACCTTGGGTCACATATGAGCGGGATGAAAGCACCTTTGGTTCCCTAGAAATTGTTAAAGAGAAGGTCAAAATCCATCGATTACACACATTGATGCAAAACTAAGTTTGGATTAGAGATTGAAAAATGAGTTCTGCAATCCAGTCTCTTAAAATCCAGAGATGTACTCAGTTATTATACATACTGTACCATAATATATTTACTGTTCTATGCACCTTGAGCAATATTGGCTATTAAGTTGTCCCATCTGGAATTATTAAGGTAGAAATGCATCCTGGCCTATTCCTGCATGTTGATTAGTTCAAAGATGGTGGATTTACAACCCTTTTTAATAAGCTGAGCCTGAGAATTTGCTAGTCCAACTGCTTTGGGAGAAACCTTTATTTTATTTTGCTTTTCTTTGGGAGTCACGCTATCAACATCATCATCTACCTGGAATGTTCTTTTTGCAAAGGGGCCAAGGATATGTGCCCAGAGAAAGAGTTTAGAGCAATGTTTGTCAACCTTGGCAACTTTAAGACATGTGGACTTCAACTCCCAGAATTACCCAGCCAGCAAAGCTCACGTCTTAAAGGTGACCAAGGTTGAGAAGCACTGGTTTAGAGCAGTGGTTGCCAACCAGTGGGGCAGGGACCACTGGTGGTCTGTGATAAAATGTTGATGGTCCGCAGAGAAATGTTTCCCCCAAGCAATTAATCCAGGCTGTGCCGCCCTTTGGCCCGCCCACCCACTGGCCCCACCCTTCAGCCGAGCACAAACCTTACCTTGAGTAGAGCCACGTGAGCTGGAACTGGAAGGTAAGACCAAAGGCAGGGGAGGGAAATCCGCCCCAGGGTGGCTTGCTGACATTGATGGGAAAGTCGGTCCCATATTCCAGAGCTGCAGTAGTCACAGGACTGGCCCTTTGGTCATCCCAGAGCAGTTCCTCCAATCCATGGCAGGCCGGTGCACTCAGGTGGAGGAACAGCTGCTCCGGGATGACCAAAGGGCCAGTCCTGTGACTCCTGCAGCTCTGGAATATGGAACCGACTTTCCTACCAACATCAGCAAGCCACCGTCAGTCAACATTCATATTAGTGGTCCATGGGATTTAAAATTATGAGTTTGGTGGTCCCTGAGATCCAAAAGGTTGGTGACCCCTAGTTTAGAGAGATGCCAATTGAATTGCTATTTAAGAAAGGGAGCTGGAGAGGATTGGCAAACGTCTTTTCAGGACTCACAATCCAGAGAACCTCTTTGATGGTCCAATTGGGGTTTCCAATGGCTGCTGATAGGCTGCTGGTCCCGGGCTCAGGGTTTCTGGATCGGTTGTACGGCCTGTTTTGGATCTAAAGCAGGACACCAGCACTGGAGGAGAAGCCCTGATCAGGGAGTCTTTAATTCGGTAGTGACCTACATTTAAAATAAAATAACATAACATAACATAACATAACATAACATAACATAACATAACATAACATAAAATAAAATAATAAAATAAAATAAAATAAAATAAAATAAAATAA